ACGGCTGGGAGAGGGGTCGGCGGTTCCGGCCCCCGCTCGGCCCCCCCCACCGCCCCCAGCCTCAGCCTGTACAGTGAGACTCACGCCATGAAGTGCAAGACGCCCGGCTGCCTCTTCACCCTGAGTGTGGAGCACGACGGACTGTGTGAGCGCTGCTTCAACTCCAGGCAGAATCCTGGAGCTCCAGGACCTGGGACGGCTCCCGCAGGATTGTCAGGTCCAAATGGGGGACCAAAAGAGCCCCCTCCTCCGGGTGAGGGCTCCAGTTGGGCCCAGTGGGGGGCCTGTGAGGTTCAGGCAGAACGCTGTGGCATGTGTCGACAAGAGACACTGAGAACATTCAATGGCCTTTGTCCGACCTGCATGCAGAGACCACCGGCTCCAGAGAGGGGGGACCCTCAGCAGAGCAACCCCAGGACCGAGGCCTCGTCCTCAGCGTGGAGCCAAACCAGGGATGCTGAGCGGCCCTGCCTGACCCTGACCCCAGGGCACACGTCTGCCTGGCAGACGCCCCTGGCCCGGCCGTGTAAGAGATCCGGTTGCCAGTTTTTCGGGACCCCAGAGAAGCTGGGTTTCTGCACTATCTGCTACGTAGACTATCAGACCAACCACCGTAAGTTTCTGAGTGGAACTGGAAAAGTTCTGGGCCTCGTGGCTTTTCTCACCGTCTGGTCACCGTGTTCACTCTGTGTTTCAGACATGACCCCGCCCCCCCCCGCTCCAGCGCAGAGCCGCCACGGTTTGGAGGCTGGCTTCCAAAACGCCTCTAAGTGTCGCGGCCCCGGCTGCGGTGCCGTTGGTAAAGCCATGTTGGAGGGCTACTGCGACAAGTGCTACGTCAAAGAGCAGAGTGCGAGGCTTAACCAGGCGGCACATCGTACGACACACTCTCCACCTGCAGTCATGGTAGGACATCTGCGGTCACTCAGTTTGATCACATGGTCACTCATGGTCGCTCTGTTATCCAGAGCATCACAGAAGGTTTCAGCTTTAGACTTTAGGTTTTAGACTTAGTTCTAAAGGTTGTCCAGGTCTTGATCTAAGACTGACATTTGACCTTCACATGAACCCTGACTGTGTATGGAACTGTTTGTTTTTTCTGATGCTATTACAGCTTTTAACTGACATTCTCTTTCTCCAAGCGTGACAGAGCGGTCAAACCCAGAGCCTCACAGCAGCCCCAGACCCAGACCCAGACCCAGACCCAGACCCAGAGCCAGACCCAGACCCAGAGCCAGACCCAGAGCCAGTGCAGAAGGAGTGGCTGCAGTAACGTTTCCCCTGGATGCACTGACCTTTGCCCAGAGTGCCACACACGGGGCCAGGGCAGAGAGGTGGGCCGGCGGGCGCAGGCGCCCAAGGAGAAGTCCAAGCAACGCTGCAGAACGCAGGGCTGTGACCATTACGCCAACCAGGAGAAACAGGGCTACTGTAACGAGTGTGACCACTTCAAACAGATCTACCGCGGCTGACGTCCTCTCAAGCCATGCTCGCCGCCGTGGTCACCACATGTAGCTAGCATGCTAGAGCCGCTATCCATGCCAGTCAATGCACCTCTGATACTAACTACCCAACCAACTAACTAACTAGCTATGGACTAACTAGTAACCTTATGGCCTGAAACTCAAACCCCCCCTTGTAGAATGTGAAGAGAGAGTGTGTAAACATGGGGGGATTTACTGTGTGTGTGTGTGTGTGTGTGTGTGTGTGTGCAGTAGACATTAATAACTCACAGTGAGAGGTTTGACTCCGTGTCACTGACTTCACACCTGAAGTCTGTACTGAATCACAAAGATTGACAAAGACAAAATGATTGTATGTTGAAGCAACAGAAGAATCTGACACTGACCAGACAACAGCCAAGGATGACTGACTGACTGACTGACTGACTGACCGACTGTCTGTCTGACTGACTGTCTGACTGTCTGACTGACTGTCTGACTGTCTGACTGACTGTCTGACTGTCTGACTGACTGTCTGACTGACTGACTGTCTGTCTGACTGACTGTCTGACTGTCTGACTGACTGACTGACTGTCTGTCTGACTGACTGACTGACTGACTGTCTGTCTGTCATTTGCTGTGAAAATGAATGCAGTTGTTGCCCTTGTTGCCCTTGTTGCCCTTGTTGCCCTTGTGTCACTCTGTTGAAGCAGTGAAGTCATGAACCCTGGACCAAAGCAACAGTTTTAGAAAATCCAACAACTCTGATCATCAACGTTCATTTAAACCACAACTTGTCTAGAAGAACTGGACCGGGGTTAGGGTGAGGTCACTGACCCCTGAAGGGTTAGGGTGAGGTCACTGACCCCTGAAGGGTTAGGGTGAGGTCACTGACCCCTGAAGGGTTAGGGTGGACACACTGCAGAACTGACCATGCTGGCCTTAAATCCTGTGTTTGCTCTTCATGAACCCATGCCTTGATGCTTTCCTTCCTTTGGACTTTGAAAGGGTAACCTCCCTCCCCTGACCCCTGACCCCTGACCCGACCCCCCTTGAATGTCTTCATACTGTACTGGGGCTGATTGTGGATGAGACTTACCTTTAAGTAGTCATTTCTAACCAGTTGGTTCTGATCCGCTCCACGTCGGTTCAACGCTCCTGTGAATATGGATCTAAGTCACACACACATACCTGTTTTTATATGTTTTAGGGTCTTTTCTACAATGATTTACATTTAGATTCTGTTTGTTTTTCCGTCCTTTGAACCTGTACCTGACACAGCTGCCGTCGACCTGGTCTGTCGACCTGGTCTGTCGACCTGGTCTGCAGACCTCCCTCTGTGGCTGGGGTCAAACCTTGTTTTGTTTCTGTCTTTAAATCAATGTTTTTGAAGCTGTCAGGGGCCGCGCTGTGCTGGGGTGGTTATTACACTTGCCTTACAGCAAGGAAGTCAGTGGAGCCCAGACTGATGTTGCAGGTCAGGGTTCTCCAGGGTCCCCCCCCCCCAGTCTGAGAACGTACATGTTGTGTGTTAATTCAGTAAGTGGATGTTGGTTCAAATCCCCACCACGGGGGTCTTTAATCACTTCAAGACTAACGTCCATCCCTTCAAGGCCGCTGACTTCACCTCCTCGGCTCCTCGGTGGCCCGTTCTAGAACCTTCAGTGCAGGACGCAGAGCTGGTCAGATGCTGTGGCCGGTCTCAGCAGCAGAGGGAGCAGAAGGTGTGTCTGACCTTTGTCTGACCTTTGTCTGACCTTAACCCTTTGGGCTGTTATATGAAGAAAAGTCTGGTTGATTTGTTGACTATTTATTCATATGAAGATGAAGGTGTTACTGTGTGATTCAATCATTATTTATATGTTGTCCTGAAAATAAACTATTTTTATTAAGACTTTTGTCTCATCTGGTTATTTTGGTTCTTTCTGACTGTGTTCAGGGTATAAATAAAGAGTATAATATATGATATATTTATAGAGAGTATATTTTAGAGTACAGCCCTGACCATCAGACGGTTGTTGTGTCAAACGTGAATCTGTAGTTTTCATCATTTCTGGATCCCGCTCCGTGAACCACTTCCTCTCAGCCTCACTGTCTCATCTGCAGCCAACCCCGATGCTGCTGCTGCTGCTGCTGCTGCGTTGAAATGCCGTGACGTCATCCAAAGTGACCAACCAGAAACCGTGTTTTGCACGTAGAGGACGAGTCCGAGTGAACCACGGTCCGAGTGAACGCTTGTGAACCTCTAGAGGGAAGAACGAGGAGCTGCTGCAAACCGGGAACAGATGGAGGTGTGAACGTGAGCCGCGTCTCCTTCAGTCGGAATCTGAGTGCGACAGTCCGGACATGTCGACGGCAGAGCTGGTCGGTGCACAGCGGCAGGAGAAGGAGTTCGGACGGGCCGCAAAACGACTGAAAACCGACGAGAGGGAGGAAGGAGAAGAGGAGCTGGAGGAGGGCGAGGATTCAGACAGCGGCTCTCTTCACGGTATCGGTGAACCGTCCGCCACCGTGGACCGACGGGCCTGCTGGACCTGCAGCCGGTTCGACTCAGCGGGAAGGGTGAGCGGTTGGATTAGTGTGCTGTCATGATGCTGCGATGGTGTTTAGGTGATGTGATGAAGGTGTGACGACACTGTGGCGATGACGTCATTTTGATGAGTGTGATGACGACGTGACGCTGTAAAGACTGTGGAGATGCTGCTGACGCTGACGTAATGGTGACGTGACAGTGACGTGATAATGATGTACAGATCGTGTACTGATACTGTGATAAGGATGTAGCAATGCTGTGACGTCACTTCCACTCACCGACCCACCGTAACCACAGTTCACCTCAGGACTGGTCACTTCCGCAGAATCAGATCTGAAAACAGCCGAGAACAGGAAGTGAAAGATTCTTTTCCTGAACTACGTTGTTGGATTCAGTTTTTCAGCATCGAGCATATACAGCAGCTCCCCATCCCTGACCTGTAGGTGGTGCTAAGTTCACATTTGCTTTCTGGCCTTTTCATTTTTGTAGGTAAATCAGAACGTACGGTTTTAATTTAATTTAATTTAATTTAATTTAATTTAATTTAATTTAATTTAATTTTTCCTGCTTCAAATCACTGTTGTTGTTTCAGGAGGAGGCGGAGTATTCTCACCGCATCCCCCCGAGCCCCGTGGTCCACGTCCGGGGTCTGTGTGAGGCTGTGGTAGAGGCAGATCTCATCGATGCCCTGGAAAAGTTTGGACCCATATGGTGAGATGAGGGAGAGAACGGGGGGGGGGGGGGCAAAATTCAGTTCATAAAAAACATAATGAACTATAAAAACAGAATAATAAAAAGTGTCAGCAAAGTATAAGAGTCATTTAGAGGAAAAAGAGCTGCACAACAGTGTGTGTGTGTGTGTGTGTGTGTGTGTGTGTGTCCTTTCTCAGTTACGTGATGATGATGCCGTTCAAGCGCCAGGCTCTGGTAGAGTTTTCTGTGGTAGAGGGCGCTGATCGCTGTGTCTCCTGTGGAACTAAGGAGCCCGTTTACATCGCAGGTTTGAATCCTTGTTCTAAACACTGTACAGCTCAGCTGTTCTACCTGTGTTCCAATCCCCTAGTGGAGAGAGCAGGTAAACACAATATTGTCCCTTAGGAATTGAAGCTAACAGTGGTTTAAACCCTAAACCTGGACCAAAGCCTGAACTCAATCCTGTGGATTCTTACATTTTTGAATTTAGCGTCTGATGATGTTGATTCACTTTATCTGTGGCCCCTCCCCCTCTCATAAGGACAACAGGCGTACTTTAATTATTCCACCTCTAAGAGAATCACCAGACCCACCAACGCCGACAACCCCAACAGTGGCAACAAGGTCCTGCTGCTGTCCATCCAGAACCCTCTGTACCCCATCACCACGGTAGGTTGACGGAGGTTTGTTGGTGTTGGTCATCACAGCATCAAAGCAGGGACACAAAGAACAGTCGTCCGTTCAACAGTCGACCGTTCACCAGTCGTCCGTTCAACAGTCGTCCGTTCAACAGTCGCCCGTACAACAGTCGTCCGTTCAACAGTCGACCGTTCAACAGTCGCCCGTTCAACAGTCGTCCGTTCAACAGTCGACCGTTCACCAGTCGTCCGTTCAACAGTCGTCCGTTCAACAGTCGACCGTTCAACAGTCGCCCGTTCAACAGTCGTCCGTTCAACAGTCGCCCGTACAACAGTCGTCCGTTCAACAGTCGACCGTTCACCAGTCGTCCGTTCAACAGTCGTCCGTTCAACAGTCGTCCGTTCAACAGTCGACCGTTCACCAGTCGTCCGTTCAACAGTCGTCCGTTCAACAGTCGACCGTTCACCAGTCGTCCGTTCAACAGTCGTCCGTTCAACAGTCGCCCGTACAACAGTCGTCCGTTCAACAGTCGACCGTTCAACAGTCGTCCGTTCAACAGTCTGTCAGGACTGAGACCTAAATATTCAAAAGGTTTTTAGATCAAAAAGAAAATCTCCTCAACATTGATTGAAAACCCAACCCTGCTGTGACTGTTACACTGTTGTCGACCCATGAACGTTCATCATTTGTTGTGTTGTGTTGTTGTCGTTTCCACCTGCAGGACGTTCTCTACACTGTGTGTAATCCCATTGGAACTGTTTTGCGCATCGTCATCTTCAAAAGGAATGGAATCCAGGCCATGGTGGAGTATCCTCACTGACTGGATATACCTGTGTGTGTGTGTGTGTGTGTAAGTGTGTGTGTGTGTGTTACTCCCTTAACCCTCACTGCAGGTTTGAATCGGTTCAGTCTGCACAGAAGGTCAAAGCAGCTCTGAATGGAGCAGACATCTACGCTGGCTGCTGTACGCTGAAGATAGAATACGCCCGGGTAAGAGAGGAGACGCCCATCCATACATCCAGCCATACATCCAGCCATACATCCAGCCACCCATCCATACATCCATCCATCCATCCATCCATCCATACATCCATCCATACATCCAGCCACCCATTCATCCATCCATCCATACATCCACCCATCCATCCATACATCCATCCATCCATCCATCCACCCATCCAGCCATACATCCAGCCATACATCCAGCCATACATCCAGCCACCCATCCATACATCCATCCATCCATCCATCCACCCACCCATCCCCTCATACATCCATCCAGCCATACATCCATCTGTCCATCCACCCATCCATCCATACATCCATCCATCCATCCATCCATCCACCCATCCATCCACCCAGCCATACATCCATCCATCCATCCGTCCATACATCCGTCCATACATCCGTCCAGCCATACATCCATACATCCGTCCATCCATCCGTCCATCCATCCGTCCATCCACCCGTCCAGTCAACTGTCTGTTTGACCGTCGACAGCCGACTCGTCTGAATGTGATAAAGAACGACAGTGAGAGTTGGGACTACACTAAGCCCTACCTCAGCAGACGAGGTGAGCTGCTACTCCATTTCTGAGTTAATGCATCATGGACATATATAAATATATATAAATATATACACCTGTGTTTTTGATAGACCGTGGAAAGGGCAGACAGAGACAGGCCATTTTAGGAGAACATCCATCGTCCTACAGTGAAAATGTCTATGGTGACACACACACACACACACACACGAAGTTAGTTTTGTGTTGATGTGAAGTTGGAGAGTCATGCTGGATTGTGTGTGTGTGCTCTCGTAGGTCCACACGGTCCTCTGCTGCCCCCCCCTGGTAACAGCAGGTATAAGCTGACGTCGGCGGAGGCTCCAGACCTGGTGTCCTACCCTGTGCCACAGTCGTCCTCCTACTGCAGTCAGGCCAGCAGCTCTGTTGCCATGGTGAGCAACCTTCATCCGACCAAGATGAACTGCAGCCGCATCTTCAACCTCTTCTGTCTGTACGGAAACATCGAGAAGGTGAAGTTCATGAAGAGTGTCCCTGGAACGGCCCTGGTCCAGATGGGAGATGAATACGCTGTGGACCGAGCCATCACACACCTGAACAGCATCAAACTGTTTGACAAAAGACTGAGTGTGTGGTGAGAACAAGAGCGCACACACACACACACACACACTGTGTTTGTCGTCTGTTGTTCTGTCTTTTTCACTGGTCTGTACTTGGACCTAGCCAACACACGTGTCTGTTGTTGTTGTTTTGTGTGCAGTGTGTCCAAACAGTACGCGGTGATACCCAGTCAGGTGTTTGAGCTGGAGGACGGCAGCAGCAGCTACAAGGACTTCTCCATGACCAGGAACAATCGCTTCAGCAGCGCAGGACAAGCCTCCAAGAACATCATCCAGCCTCCGTCCGCCGTCCTCCACTACTACAACCTGCCTCCGTGTGTGTCACAGGAGCAGCTGCTGAGGGTGAGACAGTCCACCACGGTGGTGCTAACATAAGATGTTGGTGGTGAAGGAACAGACTTATGTTATTGCCAACCTTATTTTGAGACACCGTTTGAATGACAGTATTTCCTGATGGAACAAATTCACCGTTTCAAATGAAGACTCTTATTTCTCAGAAGTATTTTTTACGAAGCTTTAGCGATGAATCAACCTACACCGTCTAAGAGCTGCTGCGTTAGTGTTGATGTCGTCGACCGAACGCCCCATGAAGTCTCTGCATCTGCAGCTCCGGTCTGGTGGTTCTGTTGTAGACATGACACTTTGTGGGGTCACCATGGTGTCGGTGCGGTCAGTGTTGGTAAGCTTAATACCACTGAACCACCTTAAGCTTTTATGGCCCTCTGCTGCCACCTACAGAAGGGAATTAGATTTTTCTTTCTGCCACTTCTGCATTGACAAATGAAAATCAATTATCTCCAATAAATAAATAATAATAATTTTCAGAGCAGTGGCTCATTTTCTACTTTTCTCCTCATGGCACACTAATGTGCCACAGACCAGAGGTTTGGAATCACTGATCACTGAGGAAAAAGGTGATCCCGGAAAAGACACAAGAGTCGCACACTTAACACCATGTGTTGTTCCAACTGTTTGGAGAATCACATGTCACATGTTGATGATGTCATCTCCAGAGGACAGCTGACGCAGCACCAGTGTCTGATGGAGACATTTGAAACACGATCAAATCTTAGTGTTTATTTTCACAGCTGTGTTCAGAGCACGACGTCCCTGGATTTGTCAAATTCAAGATGTTTGATGCCAAACGTGAGTAAAACATGTATGTGTGTGTGTGTGTGTGACTACCATTGCCTGTGTATCAACACACACTGACCCTGATGTATAATGACATTGTGTGTGTGTGTCAGCCTCCTCTAAGACAGTCTCTGGGCTGCTGGAGTTTGACAGCAGGATGGAGGCCGTGGAGGTGCTGACGGTTCTGAACCACCACCAGATCAGGATTCCCAGTCAGTGTGATTCCTGTGATTCCTGACACCATGTCCATTGACTCACTGTCCTGTTCACCAAACAGTGGTGTCACCGTTTGGTGAAATAACAGACACTTCAAACGGTTGACTCTGTGTTCTGTGCTTGTTGTTCCAGATGGTTCTAACCCCTACACCCTGAAGCTCTGTTTTTCCACCTCCTCCCACCTCTGAAGACGTTGTTGGTCGTAGTCAGCAGTGAAGCACAGGACGTGATGATGAGACGAGAACAGAAGAAGACGGACTCTTTCACTTCCTGTCAGTACTGTCTCCACCATGTATGGACGACATGGCTCTGCAGTGTCTCTGTGACGTCCACGTGTTGACGGCACCGGAAATGACTTTAGTCATGGATTCAGACTGAAGTCGGTTTACTTTTTATCAACACAGTCTTTTGAATTGTCATCAAATCAGTGTTTATTTTAATTCAATGGAGTTTCCCTTGACCTTTAACCTTTGACCAATCAGATTTTTGCTCCTGTAAATTATTTTAAAAATTGATTATCGTTCTGAAAATGATAAAGTACACCAAACAGTGACGTCCTTTAACAAATGTGACAACAGAGCAGTGGATCTCCAACCCCAGGACCAGGAAGGGTACCAGGACCAGTGTCCTCTGGTGTACCAGGACCAGTGTCCCCTGGTACCAGGTCACAGAGAAAAAATAAATGACCTAATGTTTGTGTGTCTCCTTGGAGAGACAGCAGTGTTTGGTACCAAACTGTTTTAAACAGCCATTGTTAATGTTTTTTATTCTTTCTGTAAGTGAAACATAATAAATAAACTAAATAAATGTCTTGTTTTGTCAAATTGATATCTTTAACAAAACCAACAAACCATCTCTGCTCATTTAGAGTCCTGTTGCTAAACTCCAACTCTTGTTATTATTGGATTAAATACACATTAATGTTCCTAATGTTTTTATTTATAACATGTAGTAGGTGATACCGACGTCAATATCAAAACTTTCTGTTTACGTCGAGTTTAAAAATGTTTAATTTGGCAAAAATTGGGAATAGAAAAAAAGTAGGTTGACGGCAGGACGTGACGTAGGTAATCACGCTCAACCCATGTGACAGGATCGCAGTCTCTGATTAGTGATTTTTGAGTGCAGCGGCAAATCTCATTGGTCAGTTTTGAGCCCGCTTCACCGTGGCAGCAAATTCAAACTAGTCAGAAGTGACTGTTCCAGCGCTAACGGCCAGCTAACAAGCAGCTAACAAGCAGCTAAACGGAGAAGAACAAGCAGCGTCGACAGTCACAGGGAACCGAGAGCCGACGTTGCTTCAGTGTTCAACGCGGACGAGAGAAAAACGCGCTGAAAACTGTAATAAGTAAGTTGATCCTTGACTTCTGTGAAACAACCGTCGTGAAGTGTTAAAAAGAAATGATAAAATGTTAAAAAAGACAACGGAAAGGGTTTAAGGATGAAAACATAAGTGATTTAGATCGACGTTAGTTTAAAAAGAAGGTTTAAATAACAGGAATCTGACGACAAACTTATCTTTATACCACACACACACACGGAGAAGCGTCAACTGTTTCGTGAGATAATGACGTGCTTTTACTTTGACTCTTTGATTATTATTATTATTATTATTATTATTATTTTACATGATGTCGGGAAAGTTCGGTTCTTTTCACAGTGAATAGAACAGAAAGTCCTGAAGTTCTAACCTGACGATCGATCAGTTTCTGCTTCGCAGCTGCGCATGTGCCGAACAGAAAATCAAACTATTGTTCGTCCTGTCAAAATTCAGCAGTTAATAAATATAGATGTATAAAAGCATCAGTTTTATAATTTCATCGTAACTTCATCGTAGATTAGTATCAGAGTTCAGCGAAGTGTTAAAGTCTGCGGACTGTAAACGCAAGTCTTGGTTTAAAGCTACAGGTCGGTCTTCTGTCTGTTCTCTGGAGACATTTTCTCTTTTTAAAGAAGCTCTACAAAGACTTTTCTTTCTTTGTGAAACCTGGACCAGTGACCAAAACACAAGCCTGACCAGCTCTAAACTGTTACTGTAAACTATTAACCCTGAGCTGTCACCGCGCTAACTTCATGACAACAACAGTGAAGAATTCTTCTCCTTTTCTCACAGGCAACAATGGAAGACTACCTTAAAATAGAGAAAATCGGAGAAGGTTTGTAATACATTTCCTAATTCTCATTTTACTGTCAGTCTTTCTGTTTCAACTACTGTGTAAATGGACAGAACTGCTGCAGAGAAGGTCACCGTTACTGTGGAACACACTGACACACTGAGACTGACTGTAGGCTTCAAGAGCCAAGGACAGAGGGACTCTTCACCCTCACTGACGCTTCACCCTCACTGACGCTTCACCCTCACTGACGCTTCACCCTCACTGACGCTTCACCCTCACTGACTCTTCCCCCTCACTGACTCTTCGCCCTCTCGGACGCTTCACCCTCACTGACGCTTCACCCTCACTGATCCTTCACCCTCACTGACCATTCACCCTCACTGACCCTTCACCCTCACTGCCTCTCCCCCCTCTGACCCTCTGCCCTTCACTGACTCTTCACTGACTCTTCGCCCTCTGACCCTCTGCCCTTCACTGACTCTTCACTGACTCTTCACCTTCACTGACCCTTCACCCTCACTGCCTCTTCACCCTCACTGACTCTTCCCCCTCACTGACTCTTCCCCCTCACTGACTCTTCGCCCTCTCGGACGCTTCACCCTCACTGATCCTTCACCCTCACTGATCCTTCACCCTCACTGCCTCTTCACCCTCACTGACTCTTCGCCCTCTCGGACGCTTCACCCTCACTGACTCTTCCCCCTCACTGACTCTTCGCCCTCTGACCCTCTGTCCTTCACTGACTCTTCGCCCTCTCGGACGCTTCACCCTCACTGATCCTTCACCCTCACTGCCTCTTCACCCTCACTGCCTCTCCCCCCTCTGACCCTCTGGACCCTCTGACCCTCAGGTACCTATGGTGTGGTGTACAAGGGCAGGCACAAGTCCACAGGACAGATCGTGGCCATGAAGAAGATCCGTCTTGAGAACGAGGAGGAGGGCGTTCCAAGTACTGCAGTCAGAGAAGTGTGTCTGCTCCAGGAGCTGAAACATCCAAATGTGGTCAGGTCAGAGCCGCCGCCACTGACTCCACTGAGACACCGTGTTGAATCAATGCTGACAATGACCTGAGTGACATGTTCAGACATTATTTTGGAAGTCTGTTAAAGAAGCAGTGGGGTGGGGGGTGGAGGGGACGACGACCCCCAACACCCCCCCCCCCTGTGCTGCAGTAGTTCTTACACATTAGTTTGAATCAGACTTGTTTGTTGATGTTCTTGTTTTTGTCTCCACGTCCCTCAGACTCCTGGACGTCCTGATGCAGGAGTCTCGTCTTTATCTCATCTTTGAGTTCCTGTCGATGGACCTGAAGAAGTTTCTGGACTCCACTCCTTCCAGCCAATACTTAGACCCGATGTTAGTCAAGGTACCAGCTGCTGTGGTGTTGTTTCACTGTCAGCCACCGTTGACTTCTTACATTTCTATTGTGCAGGGATTAAAAACGTTGTTCTTGTTGAACAGAACCTTTAGAACACACAGAGCTGAGGCACAGAACATGTTCAGACATTATACCAACATAAATGATAAAAACATTACATTCAACCAGTCAAATCAAAGCAGAACTTTTCCAGATGACAAACTAATCTGAGCGACTTCAAACCCCACGGTCCAGGTTTGTCGTCCGACGCTCAGTCTCCAACATCTGTGTGTATGTTTTCAGAGCTACCTCTACCAGATCTTGGAGGGAATATACTTCTGCCACTGTCACCGTGTCCTTCACCGGGACCTGAAACCACAGAACCTGCTGATCGACAACAAGGGCGTCATCAAACTGGCAGACTTTGGCCTGGCCCGAGCTTTTGGTGTTCCTGTCAGGGTCTACACCCACGAGGTGAGGCTGACGTTGGCTTCATTCACTGAGCGCCGTCGAGACGCACTGGCATCAATGTGTGTGTGTGTGTGTTTTAAGGTTGTGACGTTATGGTATCGGGCCCCTGAGGTTCTGCTTGGGTCGCCTCGCTATTCCACCCCCGTGGACGTCTGGAGCACTGGGACCATCTTTGCTGAACTGGCCACCAAGAAGCCACTGTTCCACGGAGACTCTGAAATAGACCAGCTCTTCAGGATCTTCAGGTAGACTTTAAAACCCACGCCTGGATTTCAACCAACAACTCTGCTTTGTGACCGAAGGATAGAACTTTATTAATCCCCTCTCTGCCTTTGGGAAATTAAGGAGAACGGTCATTGAAACAAAAGGTCCACATGTCACTGTTGGCCCAATCAGAAACCAGCTTCACTGCTCTTTGAAGTTTTCTGTATATATATTTGTGTCTAGAACAGTATGTGTATTTATATGTGTGTGTGTGTGTGTTTTCCTCTTCAGGACTCTAGGAACCCCAAACAATGATGTGTGGCCTGAGGTGGAGACTTTTCCAGATTACAAAAACACTTTTCCAAAGTGGAACCCCGGCAGCCTGTCGTCCATGGTGAAGAACTTGGACAAGAACGGCCTGGACCTGTTAGCAGTAAGTCAGAGCTGAAGGCTGGGCTGTAAAGGGTTAGGGTTAGCTGCATCTGCGCTAACGGCTGTCAACAAACGTTACCTCACACGTGTGTGTAAATATATATTTGTGTGTAGCTGTAGTTTCTGTGAGTTTGGCGTCTGTTGATGTTCATTCTGTCTGTAATCTGTCTGTGACCTCATCCCACCTTTTAGAAAATGCTGATCTACAATCCGTCCAGAAGGATCTCTGCCCGGGAGGCCATGACTCATGTGTACTTTGACGACCTGGACAAGTCCACTCTGCCCACTGCTACCATCTAGTGGAGAACTGCTGCCAGTGTAAATATGTTTGTGTTTAACTCCTGCAGACGTTGGCTTATGTTCGTCTCACATCTGTTTCATATAATCAAACTTCTCTATTTGTAGTCTTTCAAACCCGTGCTTTTTGATTTTCTTGTTTGTGTCTGTGGGGGGAGGGGGGGCTCTTTTTTCAGTTTTTGTTTTTACTTTTCATTGTTGCAGGAAAAATATACATAATATATATTTCTGTGAAATTGTTTGTTAACAGATTGATTACCTCTTCCTAAAATAAAGCATTTGTGAAATGTTATTCTTTGTTCTGTCACAGTTGTGTTCACTTCCAGGTGTGGGTGTGTGTACAAGGGGACATGACGTCACGACTAGTTTTAACGACAGTGGATGTTATATATTCTGTCAAACTCTGTGATTGGTCCATTTTGATTTCAGTGTGATCACAGAAGGCTCCACCCATAATACTACTGTTAGTACTACTACTACTACTGACGTCCTACTACTCCACCTATCAAGTTCAAACCAACACCTGATGCTCAGCTGAATGATGTCAACACGTGAGGTGTTGAGTTAGCACTAAACTAGCTACTAAGCTACTAACTACTAATTACTGTTGTTGTTCAGTTTTTTGTTGGTGCTCCGACTGGATCAAACAGCTGGACCAGTTAGAGCTTCTTGTAGCAAAGTTGTTGCCATGGTTACGTGAAGCAGAGTTTGGTAGAAGAAGCAGACTGAGTTGGACTTTTATATTTATTTATTCTAATGGTCAGAAAAAGTCCACAGATGGATGTCAGACCTGCTGCCTAGATTTCAGTGCGAATGTTGGGGTGTCTCCTGAGGAGGGTGGTGGCGTGTTGTGGGTGGAGACGTCCTTCTTCACCCATGTTCTCTGCACTGTTGTTCTTGGCAGCAGTCTATTTAGGGCAGAGCAGTAAGACAAGGTCAGGACGTAAGGACACAGGTGAGGTGTGTGTTGTTGTTGTTGTTGTTGTTGTTGTGGTTCCATAGTGTAGCAATGATCACTTCTGCTCTACCCTCTTGAACTGAATGTCATTTAATAAATCAATTCAAATGTGACAGATGAAGTCGAGGTGGTGATAACTGTTACAGACTGTTACAGACTGTGGTGTGTTACAGGAAACAGTGACACCGTGTAAACCTTTGTACTTGAACTAACACCACAGCAGTTCACGGTCCACTTACCTGTGCCTTTTTAACACACGAGTAAAAAGTGTTAATTTCGTTGGTGCACAGTCCGTCGACAAAGTTGTTTTGTTTCCAACAGGCCATGAGGACGGACATCTCTGTGATACATGAAGCCTCTGTGGACACAACACGTCGTTATACCGTGTACACACAGACCGAACCGTTTAATCACCAAGACCACAACCAGGGCGCACAGAAACAAAACATCATCATAGTCTTTATGGATATGAATGTAAACTATTCACTTTTCACTTTAATCCGGACGACACCTGTCACTGCCACAGGAGAAGGCGCTCGTCTCGGTTACGTTGTTTTTTTTGTTTTTTGTTTTAACAAAAGTACTCGTATAAAAATGACTCGTCTCCTTACCTCCTTTCTGGAGTTTGCGATTGGCTACGGCATCTTTCAGGACCAGAGGCCTGTTGGGTTTTAGAACCGGCTTCTTGTTCTGTCGGCTCAGCAGCCGGCTGACCTTCTCCAGGAACTCGATGCCTACATTCGACGCCATAGCAACAATTCTTCACAAACTCAGGCGTGTCGTGACAGAGAGATGGCGGCGGTAAAATAACGGTCGAGTGAAAAAGAGCAGCTCTGGAAATGTAACAGACGAGAGCTCATCTGGAGGGTGCCATGTTTTACGTACAGTGAAAAAACTGTCGTAAACACCACATGAATTCTGCGACAGCGCCCATGAGTCAACACGCCGTTTGACGTCACACTCAGGTTGACAAATGCGTCAACCTCACCGCCATATTGGAAAAGGCCTTCGGGACTAGAACTGAAGTAAGAGTAAGTTTTGTTTTATTTTATATTGTGTCCAATAGATGCAAATTATTTTATTTTATGAATAATAATTTAATAAACATTGCATAATTAATTTCATCACCATTTGTTTCCGAACCTGTCATTTACAGTCATAGAGTCACCGTGAAAACAGAATAATTCACCAAGGTTGTGTTAGTTTGTGTTGATGGTTTGATCTTGTTATTTGTTTTTAGTTAAAAAATACAATTAAATGTTAAACCTACTTCATTTGAAGCTATAGCATAGGCTTTGTATATAGTTATGAATAAATAAAATGTGTGAATAAAATAAAAAGTCTCCCGCCCCTCTCTCCAGCTGCAGGTGAGTGCAGGTGTTTGTGTTCTAAATGGCGCCACCTGACGGACTAGTAAAGGCAGTGACTACTGTGGTGTTTTCATTGGCCCAGGCAGATGGAGCTGTTAGACTGACGTCACACTCTCTGACTGCTCTATCTACAGTCGTAGCACTTTACACCAGCAGACCAGGGTTTATTATTGCATTTTCATTGTGTTTTAACAGCGTTTTTTTTTACCGGTAGCAGTCGTTGCCGGGCTCTTTCCACAAGGGGGCGCCAGTCTCGCATGTTAATCTCTCATACAGCCATACACAGAGTGGGTTAAAACAGCGGTACGTAAAAGCCTCCGTTTACTTTTACTTGAAAGCGCACGTTCCTTATTTAATGTAACGTGATAATAACCCCGCCATAATCTTAGTAACATCTTCAAACTGTAAACGATTGTTTTCCCCACGATTATCCGTATTTTCTTTTGGTTTGTCGTGTAACGATCTTCCCGCTCTAAAATAACAAATCGAGTTTTATAATTAAATTTTTAGAAAGCTCGTGTTACTGTTACACAATAACATACACATCACACGGTGTACCTTGTAATTGTGTTGTGAAATCGTTTTGTGAAATGTCGTGCTAAGATCATTTAATGTTGTAAACCGCCGAGCTGAGTTCAGGTCCTCAGCCCACATTTTCACTCTCTGTTTCTCCGTCACGTCAACACTCATTGGTATCTGTGAGTGGGCGGGGCCAGAGTTTGGGGGAGATTCCCACTCATCTGCGCCAGCCCAACAAATCTGACTTTTCCCCCGAGTGCTGTCACTCACTGAGCTCAGAGTGACTCCAGCGCACGGTCACCTGTGAGTGAAGTGTGAGAGACACTGAGAGACAACAGAGAGAGAGAGAGAGAGAGAGAGCGACGATGAGTGGTGAGTAATAACCAGAGCAGCTCTTATTTATTACTACCGTGGTAATAAGATACAAACACAGGAAGTAGTGAAACCGACGGAGTCACGGACAATTGTTTGAAGAATCACAGCATCGTGTCTGACACTTGAACATAAACGCAGTTTAACAGTGAGTTGGTGGACATTTCTGTCCCTCACCGGTGTCTGGTCAGGTGTTCGTCTCCCGCAGTAGGAACGTTTTTAGCATCAAATTCAAATTGTTGGAAAAAACCTCAACGTGAATTTGCGCCAAAACTGAAGTAATAATAATAAAGTGACGAAGTGAGGAACTGGACACGTGAGGACAGACTAGACACAAATACTCGGTGGAACTGTGATAGTGTGAGGTCAGACGGTATGTTGATGATACTGAACCGGTTTCTACGGCAGGAAGAATATTTGGTTCAAGAAAAAGAAAAGGTGACAAATGTTTTTACTGCATTTAAAACATTTAAAAAGAAAAACCCCTTAAATGTCAATTGTGTCTTGATTTGATGAGACATAGGGTTTAAAGGAGGTGAATGGATGAACTCAAGTTGATGTTGGAAAATACTGCTATGACTGTAATCAGAATATTACCTTTTTGTTTTTTTTACAAAAAAATCAACGTGGCTGTTAATGTTAAAAATGGCTTCACTCCCATTGAATATGTCCTCACATTTAATGCAATGTTGCTGCAATGAATTGAACCCAGAAAGGAGGAAGTGAATAAAAGAACATGGGACAGAATTGTGAAAGTCTTGTGGTAAATTATCAGCACAGAGAGAGGACTTTTACCAAATCTGTGTGACGCTGATCTGAGAGCTGCAGCTGCAGATTATTATTATTACTATTACTATTACTATTACTATTGTGTATTTGACTGTAAAAGATCAGGAAACGTTGCCAACTGCTGCATGTTTCCATGAATGTTTGTTTGAAGAGTGTTGCGTTGACCACGGGGACGACTGATTCAGTCGTCTGTTAAACAACACTTCCTCTTTCTTGCAAAGTCCGACAGTCACTGTGTCAGCGACGACAGCAAACTCAATGTTTTCTCTCTGATTTGACAGATTTGTGCCTGAGTTCAATCCGTTCCCTGTTTAATTGACTGATTATTTTTCCTCCTCAGTTCTGATGCCGTCCATGTTGGACGACGACCCTCACCTCAGTAAGAACATTTGTCTTTAATCGCTCTGTTGTGTTTGTGTCGCTCGTCTGTCATCAAGTCGAGTCGAAAGTGAAAAATGCTGCCAAAAAAACCCAGTGTGTGCAGCAGCAACTTCCGGGATTACAGACTTTTACATGTATTTGGTTAAACAGGTTAACTAGCAACATTATTACGCAACTGCATTTCTACACATTTAATCACAACTTTATCATTTTTAAAAAATATAATTTTAAAAATAATTTAGTTAATTATTTACCCCAATGAGCAATTGAACTTTTCAAATTAAAAACAGAATAAAAAAATCAAACTTTAATTGATTACTTTACAGTATTTATTTAAATATCAATTTAGCTAATTTTATATTTTTTATTTTTAAGGTCTTTCTCCAGTCTTAAATAATTGATAAAAGAAAGTATACAAATGTATTATTTTAATTTAGATTTAATCAATAATTTATTTCTTAATTTTATAATCCTTCTTTCTATTTTTCTTTACCATTTTATTGACTGTATAGATATTTTTGTGTTTGTATTTTGCAGCGTAGCTACTTCTAAAAGTATGCGGCTGAAAAATACTTTTAAATAAGCAGAGTATTTTTGGTAAAATGAGAACTAACTGAAAAGTGAGAACCAAAAAAAGCAAACAGTTCCAGGAACAGAAAATAGAAGAAATGTCAGAAATGTTCCCTGCTTCACTTTCTTCATCCAATTTCATGGAGGTTACGCCTGATTACTGCGCAACGACAGACCGTTACTGCGTGTGTACTTCTGTACTTCGTGTCTGTGAAAGCAGTCAGTTATTTATTATTTACTGTAAAAATATAAACATTTATACTTGTTCTTCTGGGCACATTGTCTTTAACAAATACCAATGTTGTGGAGACATGTTGTTTTAGGGGTGGGGGGTGGAGGGGGGGGGCAGTTTGTAAATCCCCAAGATTTAGTTTGGTGTAAGGGTTAGATTAAGGGTCAGGATTAAGATTACAGATGTATCTGTAGTAGTTAAGGTTAAAGTTAGTGGTTAGTGAATGCATCATATAGGTGTGTGTGTGTGTGTGTGTGTGTGTGTGTCTCACTTCTGCATTGGTTCAGTATCAGCAGTGAGAAGAGGAAGGCGTTCACAGCCAAAGTTCCATCTTCTGTGTTGTTTTAGTTTTGTGTCATCCTCTGCGTTCGTTCGTTCGTTCGTTCTTTCTGTCAGAAATGTCGCTGGACTTGTTTTGACGATGTTCAAACTTCTGCCGACCTGTGTCTGTGTCGCAGCGTGTGAGTCTGCTGCTGCACTAAAACACTGACTTTTATGTCACTGGAATCAAACAAACTCACCCCAAAAACCGAGGCACTTCCTGTGTTGGTTTTAGTTCCTCTTTTGTGCAGCCGTCATGTGAGGACAACGTTTCACACTTGACTTTTATTGACTTTTATTAAACCTGCTGAGGCATTCGTAGTTAGCATTAAGCTAACTGCTAGGGCAGAGGTTCTCAAACTGTGGGAGTGTACCACTGGTGGTACGTGGGGAAAATTAATATTTTCACATTAACATTTTCAGTTGAATAAATCTGAACAGTTTAAACATAAACATCTTTATAAACGTGTATGAACACCTGTGTGTGTGTGTGTGTGTGTGTGTGGAGCGCGAGCTAACAGGTCGTCATGGTGATGTTCTCTCAGGTGGAACAGAGAAGAAAACGTTTGAGAACCACTGCTGTAGGGCATGTATAGTGGCAGGAGGCACTCAGAGCGCCCTCTGTTGGACTGTAGAAAGACTAATTCAGACACTAACGCTTTTCAAACTGAAATTTGAGTTTTAGTTCAACTAGAGATAAGAACGAAGCAAATGTGTTTGGAGTCGGGATCATTTTAAAAAGAAAAGGCCAAATATTGGACCGTGTGGAGCCACGTGGGTCGGTCATCATCAAAATGACAAAAGACAAAATGAACAACATGTTCTACTGAAACCTGCATCTATTGATTGATTGATTGATTGATTGATTGATTGATTTTTTTGGCAGTGGCAGAGCCGTCCGTCCGTATCTTTGAACAACCCAAGCAGCGTGGGATGCGTTTCAGGTACAAGTGCGAGGGTCGCTCCGCCGGCAGCATCCCCGGAGAGAAGAGCTCAGACAACAACAGGACGTACCCCAGTCTGCAGGTCTGTGCACTGACGTTAGACGAGGGAAAGATGGCGCTCTACATGAGATATATTCATTATGTCACACAAATGTAAACAGTCAGAGTTGTGGCTAGCAATAGCATCAGCGTTAGCTTAAAATGTCAAACAGAAATGTCAAAAACCACTGCCCTCGTCCCCAGAAGAGGGCGATGTTCTGTGTAACCGCTCCGTTTGTTCCGTGTGCAGATTTTGAACTACTCTGGTAAAGGAAAAGTCCGCGTCTACCTGGTGACGAAGAGCGAGCCGTTCCGTCCACATCCACACGACCTGGTGGGAAAAGACTGTAAGGATGGATTCTACGAGGCCGAGTTCGGTCCAGACCGCAGAGTCATCGCGTGAGTGTTGGTCACTCCGGTCACTCCGGTCACTGTCCTCACCTTCACGTCCTTGGATCATCGTCGTCCTTTTAAGAGTCTGCGTTGAAATTAGCTGAGCTTTAGCCGCGGCTAATTCTGCGATCTGGTGATGGAGTTAGCTACAGATTAGCAACATTGGACAGGAAATGAGGAGTTTGTGCAGTACACAACAGGCCGTCCAGAGTGGGGGGGGGTGGGGTGGGGGGGTCAGACCTAAAATAGAGCAGTTTGGGGTCGAAGTCTGGTTCAGATGTGGCCCATAATCCAGGTCTACATTTGGAACAAGTCTCATCTGATCAGTCTGAACAAAACACTGGTTCACACTGGTTCACACTGGTTCACACTGGTTCACACTGGTTCACACTGGTCCCTCCATATGGTTCAATAAACACACACACACACAGGTTTCTACACATATTTGTAAAACCATGTCTGCGATCATCAGCAATATGGGAATTCCCCATGAGTGACATCACTCATATCTACTGTGTGTGTGTGTGTGTGTGTGTGTGTGTGACTCAGTGGCTCAGTGTATAATTTGCAGCTCCTCCTGTTTGTCTGTAGTAACTTCACATCAGTGTTTTCTCCTGATGTGAAGTCCAGATGAAACAACGTCGTCTTTGATTCTGTGTGAAGTCACACACACACACACACACACACACACCCAGGAGGTCAAACCTGGGGTTCACACCACTGACAGAGACACTGTCTCTGGGCCAAAGCGCCACCACATGGAGATGTAGCAAACTGATCTAATACATCTACATATATATTTATTCATTATAACTAGAATCATTTTTATTTTATATCAACAATTATTCTATTATTCTATTTCAAATTCATCGTTGTATTTATTTCCTTCCAGTTTCCAGAACCTGGGAATCCAGTGTGTGAGGAGGAGGGAGGTGAAGGACGCCATCGTCCAGAGAATCACCCGAGGAATTAACCCCTTCAACGGTCAGTCGCTGAGTCTGTGTCCTAAATCACACACATGTATTTATCTTCAACACACGGACAACCACGACTCACAACCACGACTCACAGAACACCAGGAAACTGGGATTGGAATTAAATACATACATATATACATATGTATATGTATGTATACGTATATATATGCAGGTATATATGTATATACCTCCTGCTCCTGCTTCTGCTGTTACTGCTGCTGCTCCTGCTTCTGCTGTTACTGCTGCTGCTGCTGCTGCTGTTACTGCTGTTGCTGCTGCTGTTACTGCTGCTGCTGTTACTGCTGCTGCTGCTGCTACTGCTGCTGCTCCTGCTGCTGCTCCTTCACTAACAGGCGTTCACGTTGACTTCCTCATTCTCCTCGGTTGCACAATCAGCCGAGGGCAGGAAGCCACGTGAGAACAGGGAATGTAGGGTTAATTATGACAGGAGGGAAGGGGGGGGGGGTTTCCCCAGCTCACAGATGATGATGATGATGATGATGATGATGATGATGATGATGATGATGATGCCCACAGTCACATGACCAAAGTAGAAAATGTGATTCATTTTCTCTTTGTACTGTAGTTGGTCATGATCGACCAGAGCTCTCTCTGTGATCGACTAGTACGTCCTGACCTGCTGGTCTGGTCACCTCTGCTGTGGACAGTAGTAGTAGTAGTAGTAGTAGTAGTAGTAGTAGTAAACTGCAGTCACTCAGGTAATGTGTGTAATATTCGTAGTCCTCATGTTGGACCACATACCACAGATACTGAAACCTCAGTACACAGTGAAGTATTCAGTAAAGTACTCAGTAAAGTACTCAGTGAAGTATTCAGTGAAATACTCAGTGAAGTACTCGGTGAAGTACTCAGTGAAGTATTCAGTAAAGTACTCAGTGAAGTAGTACTGAGTGGTGCAGTGTGTCACCTTCCTCTCACACACTTTTACATTCACATCAGCCCCCCCTCCCCCCTCCCCCCCCCTTCATTCTCTGGTTTCGTTCCACTCTGCAGATGTTTGTTTTCACCCTCACAGCCCACGTTCCTGCCTCTGTCCGGCACCGGGGGCAGTGTTGCCCTGTATCCTCTCACGTTAGGAGGACCGACCAATCATGTTCCATCTCAGCTCCGTCAGTTGCACTTTCATTCACACCAGCGAAGCCTCCGTCTCTGCCTCCTTCAGTTTCTCCACTGTGTTTGTCTCCACCTCCTACACACACACGCACACACACACACACACACAGGACTCAGTGGCATCACAGGAACACCAGGCCGAGCTCAGACTCCACTGCGGCTCAGGAGACGTTTTGGCCTGAATAGTTCAAACGTCAAATCCCAGGTTGATTCACGACGTTAAAAAACCCTGCTCAGATTACTGCTGTGGCGCCCCCTGATGGAGGGTGTGTGTCTCTGACTCTGTCTCTGTCTCTGGTGTCTCTCCTCAGTTCCTCGTGAGCAGCTGCTCCAGACCGAGGACTACGACCTGAACGTGGTCCGTCTCTGTATTCAGGTGTCCCTACAGGATGAAAACGGTCACTACACCCGTTCACTCAACCCCATCATCACCAACCCCATCTACGACAACCGTGAGTGCCCCCCCCCCCCCCCCCCCCGTACTGTTTGAACGACGACGTTTGTTTGTTTGTTTGTTTGTTTGAAGTTGAACCTGGGCTGAAACGTTGATGTGGAAATGAAGCCTGTGTTCAGAGACTGAAAGGCAAACATTCAAAAAGAGGAAGACACACACACACACACACACACACACACACACACACCAACCATCGACCACCACCGTTACCATAGAGCACTTCCTGTTCTGACAACACGTGACGTGAGCCTCCACTTGATAAGAGTCACTGAGACTCAGAGGACACAGTACTATGAGGACTCAGTGGACACAGTACTATGAGTACTCAGAGGACACAGTACTATGGGTACTCAGTGGACACAGTACTATGAGTACTCAGAGGACACAGTACTATGAGTACTCAGTGGACACAGTACTATGGGTACTCAGTGGACACAGTACTATGAGGACTCAGTGGACACAGTACTATGAGTACTCAGTGGACACAGTACTATGAGGACTCAGTGGACACAGTACTATGAGGACTCAGTGGACACAGTACTATGAGTACTCAGAGGACACAGTACTATGAGTACTCAGAGGACACCGTACTCTAGGGACTCAGAGGACACAGTACTATGGGTACTCAGAGGACAGTCCTGGTCTGGTGCCCCCCCCCAAACCCCCCCCCCCAGGTTAATCCATCAGTGTCAGTGTCAGTCTGACAAACAGTCGTCCACTCACGGTCCTGGCTCTGGGCCTCGGTCCAATCAGCTGCAGCCTCTCATAAACCACTGCTTCTCAAATAGCGGGGCGGGGCCCCCCCGCGGGGGGGGGGGGGGGGGGGGCCGTGTCGAAAGGGGAGCACCACTAGGTGGCAGCAGCTCATAGGTTTGAACAGATATACACCTGATCAGGTTGTCAACAGTCAGTTCAACTGTTGTTGTTGTTGTTGTTGTTGTTGTTGTTGTTGTGTCGTGGTCCAGGAGCTCCAAACACGGCAGAGCTGAGGATCTGTCGCGTCAACAGGAACAGCGGCAGTGTCAAAGGTCAGGACGAGATCTTCCTACTGTGTGACAAAGTGCAGAAAGGTAAACAGTCGACTTCCTCTTCATCACTGCCTTCATCGCTCTCACCTTCAGTCCACAGTTTCCACCTCTCCCATTTTCACATTACTGACTCTTCATCATCTTCATCATCATCATCTTCTTCTTCTTCCTCACTCTTGACCTTCAGATGACATCGAGGTGCGTTTCTTCTCCTCCGACGGCTGGGAGGCCAAAGGCTCCTTCTCCCAGGCCGACGTCCATCGTCAGGTGGCCATCGTCTTCAAGACTCCGCCCTACTACAACACCTCCATAACGGAGGCCGTCACCGTGCGCATGCAGCTGCGACGGCCGTCCGATCAAGAAGTCAGCGAGCCGATGGACTTCAGATATCTACCGGACGACAAAGGTCAGTGACGGCGGGCCGGGTTTGACCTCTGACCTGGTCAGACAGAGTTAACTGTTCTGTTCTACGTTCTGCAGATCCGTACGGTTACAACGAGAAGAAGCGCAAAAGAGAACACCTGATGAAGTTCTCGGGGTTGTCAGGTAAGGAACCTGGTACCATGGAGCTCTGCCTGTACCAGAACCCCTTTAATGAGATATGGTCTCTTCCTCCAGGGGGCGCTTTCGCTGGTGCTCTGAACAGACCGAAGGCAGTGGCGCAGAGTTCCTTAAGTCATCTGAGAAAAGGTGAATGTGGCGGCATGACAGAGCATGTGTTTGATGACATCACACTGTGACATCACTGACAGTTTCACACTGCTTGTTCCAGATGCCCCCAACATGTACCCCAGGCCTCAGCCCCCGCCCCTGATGCAGCAACAATCTCCCATGTTCAGCCAGCCGTACCAGACCGGACCTCAGAATGTCATCATGTCTCCACAAGTTCTCAACCTGGAGATCAGCGGCTCGTGGGCCAATCCCAACCCGGCGCTCTCTGTGGATACGGTCACTATGAACCAGCACCGAGCCATGGGCCACCTGCCCCGACCTCCCAGCAGCAGCAGCAGCAGCAGGCAGCAGCAGCAGCAGCAGCAGCAGGAGGAGGTTCGACGTGGGCCTGGACCTTGACCTGGCCCGTACCATCGTAGACTGGACCACAGCAGCTGTGAGAACAACACTTTACCCCAGCTGTCCATAGGAGACCTGCAGTGCTTGGACACGGCGTCACAGTCCACTCTACGTAATCCTTCAGAACCCGTGACCTTCCACGTGCAGCAGCAGAGGGACGGGCTGGGCGCTGACACTCAGAACCAGAACCATCTGGCCAACCAGAACCAGGGACTTCAGACTATGTGGCCCACCTTCAACACCATCAATACGGCCCAGGGCGCGTTTCTGAATGGGTCGGTCAGCGGGGATGTTGGCGGGGGGTCACAGGGTCTGGGGTCGTTCTCCTTCCTGGAGGATATGGAGGGAGATGATTTGTTGAAGAGTCTGGTTGGAGGAGGCGGCTCTCAGACGGGTTTCCAGCTGAAGCAGGAACCCCAGATCACCATGGTCCAGGAGATCCACGGTCCCCTCCTGCAGTCCCAGAGAGATACTGAAGGGGGCACTTACACCAATCTTCTCAATCGACCCATGAGTAAAAGCACAAACATGGATCCCACCATGCACGACAGCGGCGGATGTTCCCAACCTCTGAAGAACCTGCGGAACCCGTACTCCAGTAACGGCGTCTCCTCAGACGGTCACTTTTCTACCTTGGCCGACTGGATCAAAGCCACACGGCACAGTGACTGACCACTGGTCCACTGGTCCGCTGGTCCACTGGTCCACTGGTCCACCTAATGACCCTACTTCTATGTGGCCCGTTTGGCAGTAACGGTACATGTATGGTTACATCTGTGGGTCAGTTAAAATAGTAACACCCCCTCCCCCCCCCCCCCCCCATAACTGTCCTTCCTCTCACTCCAACCGTGGGAGTGAAAGGTACGTTTTCATTTGCTTGGTTGTGTGTTTTTAGTCAGTGTTTTCCTCCTTGATGCCACAAGGGGTCAGTGTTTGCCATGTTCTTCATCACAAAATGGGTTTAACAACTTGGACTAGTGACCAGGTTGGTTAACACTCTCCTAGAGAGAGGTGGGTTAAAGTCAGTGACCACACTGTTTTATTCATCGTTGTCGGACGCCATTCAGTGACGTCATTCAGTGACGCCATTCAGTGACGTCATTCAGTGACGTCATTCAGTGACGCCATTCAGTGACGCCATTCAGTGACGCCATTCAGTGACGTCATTCAGTAACTGTCGTCAAAACAGCCGTGCTGAAATGTCAAACCTAAAAGCACCGACAAGGCATCGCAAAATGTGGATAGTTGGTTCTCAACACATCGCCCCCTTGTGGCCGACGACTTTTTTCTGTTCTACTCCTTAGTCTAAGGTACGTGTCGGAGGTTGCGTCCATTATTTAAGACTTTCTGTGCACCATGTAGATGAGCGTGACACGACCGGTCGTTGACTCCTCTGTGTTTGACTCCATCTGTTAATAATGTAACACAAATATAAAAGTCTTGTTTCAGAGTTAAAGCAGAAAGAATCACCAAGATACATGTGTTTTTATATAAACAGTTTTTTTATAATTGTTGACTGTCTTCAGGAGTCGTTGTGCTGTTGACTGTACATGTAAACGTCGGCCATGTTGGAGTGTCGGCAGAAACACTGGAGAACATGGCCAGCTAGTGAAATTTCCATTGAGGGAAGTTGAGGAAGCACATTTTCTGTGCAGTTTTGTTTTCCTTCGTAATGACTATGTCATAACAGTGATGACAACATTCATCCAAGGTTCTCACACGTCGGGTTTTTTTATATTTCTCTCTTTATTTCTATGCAACAATAGATCAATACGTACTTTTTATATTTCATGGAGAAACAATTTGAGAATTGAATAAGTTGTTTTAGCTACAGCCCTGGTCGGAAACAGACGAGCTGATGTTGATGATGAAGATGATGATGATGATGATGGTAAATTTAACCTTCATGGTTACTTTGTCACCACTTGCCAGTGAGTCCATTCACTCGTAAACATTTTTACCAACATTCCACACGTTTCACAGGGTTTGTGTTGTAAATATTGCTTTCAGAGAAATAATTTCTAAATAAAAAAATAATCACAGAAATGTTTGTTTTTTTTTTACCTTGGAGTCTTATTTTACATCCCTGTCAGTGGGAGTTGTTGCTCTATAACTCCTTCCACAACCAGGTTCAAACTTTTATTTTTTAACTCCTTCATTCAGATTCAATTCAGTAACATTGACTGACCACAGGGGGCAGCAGTGGTCAGTCAAGAAGTTCAAGGAACTTGTATTTAAGTAGCAGCACTGCACAGCCAGAACTGTCCCTTTAAATCAGGCGCTCACGGCTCTCATTACTTCCACTGTCTCCGAACAATTTCCCTCGTCCTCCAATTTCCACACTTCCTTAAGCACTTTTTAATTACAGGTGTCGTCGCTCCTCTGTGCACAGACAAGACTCAACTCAGCAGGGAAAAACCCACGGACACGGAGCAGAGACAGAGACGGAGCTGCATGTTCACTGACAACAGTTATTTATGTGTGTAACTGACAGAGACGTAACAAGAAACAACCTGTCACCTCAACATCTCACACGGTGAATGCATTTTCACTGTTTTAATCCTGTTGTGAGTGTCTTCATAGTATTATTAGAAACCTTCTGTGTACGGATCAGTTCAACAACAACAACAACAACAACAACATATTAAAAATATTTGTAAATTTCCCCTTTGCTATTTTTGTCTCGATGTATTTTGAGCTCTTGTTGAAGTAACTACATGAAGTACCATGATACTTTTGGTGAACTTTGATCTATGATGTGCAGGGTTTGACCTTTGTTGGAATTGGAAAGTTCATTTTGAAAATTTCAAAGGAAAGAATTTACAAAATAAACAAATATCAAAACAAATACATATAAACTAATTCTAATATGTTTTCATTTTAATGCCGTTGGTCGCAGCTTGGGCTGAATTTTAAACACTTCTGGTCAACATTTTGGTCAAACATGATCTTTTGCCTGGAGTGGTGCAGTTCTTCCTCCGGCCACCGAAGGGTCCCAACCACCTGATCCCAAATCCCAGGTTGGGTTGAGTCAGGAAGGACACCTGGTGGTGAAACTTGTTCCTTGGACTAGTACTGATGAAGGGACAAACACAATGAGCTAATGTGGCTCAGGTCGGCTTTTTAAAAAAAATGTTTTTGCTCTGAATTCATTGATAAGTCTCGTCTCCACCCTGTGGATTCCTCACCTTCATTTGAGCAGCTTGAATATTGTCTGTTAGTTATGAGTAAACAAGACGACGGCCCAGGAGAAGTTGGACTTTATTTATTTCCAAGTCTGATTTTAAGGTTTTTTTTCAGGTTATCGTTGAAGTTTTTGAGATTCACAGGAGGTAGAACGGCTGAGAGAAAGAGGGAGGAGTCAGAGCAGCAGAGGGAGGAACGTTACTGGAAATAGGTGGCTGAACAGGTCCAACTCGCCTGTTTTCCAGGATGCGGTTAGGAAATGTCTAAAGAAACACACACACACACACACGCTTGACTGTGGGGACTTCCTGTCAAACACTAACATCTGTCAGGTATTAAAAATGTCCTGACTCTTTAACAACGACCTCGTCCCTCTGAGGGTGTGACACGTGACATAATCACCGCAGATTAATGTCACGTTTCATCACACACCTTCATTCAACACTTCATTAAAGTGTTAGGAGGAAACATGTTAGCATGTAGCCGTGTAATAAAAAATAGTTTAAACATCTTTGACATTCTACAGCAGCATCACAGATGTTTTATTTGACCATCGCTGCACAGACGCTGTGAATCCACTGTTGCTGCAACCAGTACATTATGTCCATGTTCATACAAATTAAATGTAGTGATGATAACTGGCCACTGAAGGAGCGGCCGCTCGTGTGTCCCTGTATATCAAAATATTTAATTTCCTGAAGTGAAAAGCGTTCTTACAGTGAGATAATAATAATAATAATAATAATAACTTGAACTTGTATTACCTTCATGTTATAAAGTAGATTTTGTACCACAGTAAACACATCATGTTAAAAACCTAAAATACTCAACACAGTTGACCATATAATAATCACAGAGTTTTTATGGAACAACAAGAATGATATAAAAACATGATGCTGATTCAGGAGTTGTTGTTTTTTTTAATGACCCAGAAATGATGAGGATTTGTCTCTTCTTTTAACTTTCCTTTTGTTATAAAAAAGAGACTAACAAACAGTGAATTTACAGAAACACGTGCGGTTTGCTGGTGAATTGGTGGCAGATTGTTGAGAGTAACCGAGGATATCTCGCTGAAGCTCCATGTGACGTCACAGGAAGGAAGCCGCACACGTTCAGTTCACCTCAGTCTCCAGGTAAAAGAGGAAACCGGTGTCAGCGGCGGAGAACATCCTGCCTTCGCTGGTAATGACGTGTCTGGAGCAGCTACCTGTAAAAACACTGCCTTCACGGAGGAACCGCCTGATAAGAAGCACAAACTGAGTTGTTTTCAAATAATCGAATCAACTTTTTGTTGTGATGAAACGAATGGCAACCCCCTCTGCTGGTTGTTGGTTGTCTGTGCAGGGTTAACATTAAACAGATCGTTTTTCCAAACTCAAAGTTCTGTACCGTGCTGTGAGCGCCCCCTGGAACTGGTCTAGGACCAGCTGGGCTGCAGTTACAAAAAGCTAAATGGGGGGGATCTATGTGACGTCATCATCGGTTACAATGACTTAAGTTTACTCTTTTAATTTATAATTTTTTATGGCGTTATATATTTTTATTTAATTTTAAAGTTAATAACTGTTGTTATGTAATAATAATATTATTGTTGTTGTTTTGATTATTAATAATGATATCATTTTTATCATCATACAGAACTTCCGTCATTTGGTTTAGGGATGGTCTGACAAAATGGTCATCTTTAACGCTTTCGATTTAAGGAAAGTATTGCCTGTGTGTGTGTGTGTGTGTGTGTGTGTGTGTGCTCTGTACGTTCCGCCAATTTTTTTCTCCATGTTTCCACTTTTGCGTTAAACCCTCGTCCTTCCCGCCTCTCGGTTAGGTGGATTTCTCAGTTACCGTCCTTTGACTACATTAATAAAAATAAAACAAAGAGGAAGTGGGACTGGTGAGACACGCTGAGGCCAGTCCAACGTGCTGCCCGTCAAAAATACAGAAATACACCAGAGCAGCGGTTTATAAAGAGTGGAATTTCAGGGTGAGTGAAGAAATGCCCTAACGTTACTGTTGTGTTGCCTTCAGGGACAGAAGGAGAAGTGACGACTCTGGCTTAAATGGGAAGTTTAGGATTCAGGGATTTTATAGTAAAGCTCGGCTGTTATTATGTTACAGTCGAGTCAATAAAACCTTCAGCCTAAAACATTGTCTTTATCTCATCATTAACGGTTGACTTTTCAAAAAGTTGATTTAAAATTAGATTCGAATGAGGAAATAAATTGAATTTTAGTAACATCTACTGACAGTTTTAGTCTAAACTTTATTACTTTCTATCATTGGTTTGACACTTTTGGTTGGTTTTATTTTTAATTACAGACGTAATTAATACTTTTATAATAAACCTAAAAAGCCCGATTGGTTTGAATTAGTTTGAGTTGCAGGTATGAACGTGTTATTGTTTATCAAATAAAACTAAGTTTTTAATTAAAAAAAGATTGTAAGAGATTTTATTTCATTTGAAGGTAGAGATAAGGTGACGTGTGAACCTAAGGTGTGGATGGATTTCCCTCCTGTCTGTTGCGTCAGTCCTCTGTGTCTGTGGTTGAGTTGAGGAGTGGGCGACCGGTGTGTGTGTGTGTCTGGAGCTGAGGTGTTGTCTGTGGTTTCAGCAGAGGGAGCTCTACCCTAGTGTGTGTGTGTGTGTGTGAGGGTGGCTTTACTTCCAACGCAAAATCCAAATAACGTCACTGACGTGAGTGGGAAGGACACGTGTGACCACGTGATAACGTCCGTGGACTTTTCTAATGTGGTGAATGTCTACGAAAAAAAAGCAAAATCTTGAAGCAAATCTGAAACTGTACTTAAAAAAAAACATTTCTTCCTTATTTCTCCTTCTGTTGAAATGAAAAAAAAAAGATGAAGGCACACAATCATTTTTTCAGAGCTATCTGTGTTCGTTTGAGACCAAGACCTCCACAGAAGAAGACCTCCACAGAAGAAGACCTCCACAGATGGAGGTCATAAAGAAGATTTGAAGCTGGTCATTGTCTGACGTCATCAGTCAGGCGTCCTGCTGTGGAGACTGAAGAGAGCTTCCTGAAGGAGGAGGAAGAATTAGGTTTTCTCTATCACACTCCTCACCAATCGGTGGCGATACTGAGCCTCTGCAGCGCTGGTCAACCTGGAATTAATTCAAAGATTAAGACAGCAGCAGAAACAGGTTCAACGTTTTAAGACGTGTCGCCGATTTGTGGACCTTATTTTCAAATATTGCAGATGGATTCGCAGCCCCCCGTGAAGCCGTGGGAGCGGAGGATTCCAGGAACTGGGGTCGCGCCCATCAACTACAGGTAAACGCTGCTCTGTAGCTGCTAATAGCCAGAAGCTAATGGGCCTAAGCTAAATGTTTTCTTAGTTTAAGCTGGAACTGTTGCATAAGTCCAAACGTGACAGTGTGAGATGACATTATAACCTTTGATTATTAGGCACCGTAACATTTGACCACCTGTTCATGGTTTAACAGTTATATAATATAAATATCATGTAAGGAAGCTAACATAAGGCAACAACAAGGCCTGTTCAGGTGTCATGTTTGTTTACTGTTTGTTTTTCATGAGTTTTTACTGTCAAAGATGATTTCTGTCAGAATGCTGTTCGTGCACTTTATTCATCGGGTTTTACGTGGATTGTTTACATGATGAATCGATCAAAGTGTGAAATCGGTGACACTTTCGTCAAACAGATCCGCAGACCTGGGCCAAGTTTCAGGTTTCTCCACTTCAGTTGGACCTCCTGTGCTGACTCGAATGGCGCCCCCTGTGCCTCCACGTCCCGTCCAGCAGTCATACCGTCCAGCCTACAGTTCTTTCACGTCCTCGTACAGCCCGTACGGCAGCTCTGTGTTCGGTGGCTACAGCCCCTACAGCTATGGCGGGGGCTACGGGCTGGGAGGCTACGGTCGCCTCTCCCACCAAGAGGACGTGGCCCCCAGCAGGTTTGTGCAGCAGGCTGAGGAAAGCAGCCGCGGTGCCTTCCAGTCCATCGAAAGCATCGTCCATGCCTTCGGCTCGGTCAGCATGATGCTGGACGCCACCTACTCTGCCGTATACAACAGTTTCAGAGCCATCCTGGACGTGGCCAACCACCTGACCCGGCTACGAGCCCACCTGACCCGTGTGCTGTCAGCCTTCGCTCTGGTGCGCACGTTACGTTACCTGTACAGACGATTACAGAGGCTGCTTGGTCGGAGGGCGGATGCTGAGGTCGAGGACTTGTGGGCCGACAGCGCCACCGACGCCCTCGCCACGGCTGCTTCTACAGGGTCAGGAGCAGGAGCAGGAGAAGGAGGTCCGACGGGCAAATCTTGGCCCATTATTCTGTTTTTTGCTGTTGTCCTGGGTGGACCCTACCTGATCTGGAAACTGCTCTGCTCTACTATTCCTACAGAGGAAAACGGTAGGATTTAAACACAGTGTGATGATTTAAAGGTTTGAGGACGAAAAGAAATCCAGTGTTTGTGTTTCTTCTGTTTGTAGCCACAAACTGGGCCAGTGGCGAGGACGACCACGTCGTGGCCAGAGCTGAGTATGACTTCCAGGCTTCGTCTGAGGAAGAGGTTTCTCTGAGGGCAGGAGACTTGATCAACGTGGCTCCTAAAGGTCAGGCTACTTCATCAACACATCTTCTACTGTAATATTTCCTCATTTCGATCATTTGTGTTAATGAGCTGGTAAGAGATAATATATGAGGTAATGGAGGTAGAAGTCCATTGTTAGTATTGTCCTTGATAACGTAGACAGACAGGAAGCTCTGTCTGCCCATGTGCACAGCTGAGGTCTTCTCTTCTACGTTCCTGAAGTCCGTTCCGTTCTGTGGTTTGTAGAGCTGCAGCCCAGGGTTCGCGGCTGGCTGCTGGCCAGCCTTGATGGTCAGACCACAGGACTGGTCCCTGCCAACTACGTCAAGGTTCTTGGTAAGAGGAGAGGACGCAAACACACGGAGCTGGAGAACAACGCGCGGGCTCCTCCGACGCCAACACCTGCTGCTGAATCACAGCCAGTGAATCCGACTTCTACAAACAACCTCCTGGAGTCAGTGTACAGAGAAACACCAAACACTTTCTGTCTGGGAACGTCCGCCTCCAACACGTCTGCCAGTACTGCAGTAAACATACATGAGAAGATGGACCTGTGAGGTCTGTCCCTGTGTGTTGTGATTGATTAACAGTCGGCCGACCATAAGTGTGGGGGGGGAGGGGGTGAAATGTTGAATGAACGCAAAATGATTGATTAACAGTCGGCCGACCATAAAGGTTTGGGAGAAACAACCTGGACCTGTAGAGGATTTTATCCACCACGTGTTTCTAACAGTTTAAAACCACAGGCCTCGTGTGATTGGTCCAGAGCTGGTCTCATTCAGCTCTGTTTTGTTCCTTTTGCTCCTGTTATTGTTTCTATTCTGTCAAATTAAATTCTGTTTATTTGTTGTTCAAAAACGTAGTTTCAGTAACCTGAATAATTAACTGTTGGTGACAGTGACAGTGTGAGAACAGCAGTTTTCTGTCTGATCATCTTCACGTCAGCTCTGTGATGAAAGTGAGACCAAACGTTCAGAGGCAAAGATGGGTCATTTTGCACATGTAATATTTAATGGCTTTTGCGACAATAAATATTTTTGTAAATCAGAATGCAAGAAATATCGTCAACTGTTTAACATTCCATTAACTGCCGACAGGACTTAGATTTGGTTTTAATCTTCCACCTGTGTGCGGTTTTTTTCTAACATGGTTTATGGCAGAAATCCACGATTTGCGACAGCACTGTTTCTTAGCAACTGAACGCAAACCTGCTGCAGTGCGACACCGGGTAAAGTCACTGCTGTGAATGAAGCTTGTTGGGTTTGAACGCGTTTACATTTTATTTTACTTTTAAATATCTTTCCTCCTTAAATTAGGAGAATATTAAACCATATATATGTGTGTGTGTGTGTTCTAATCGGTGAAATATACACGAAGGCGTCACTGTAAGTGACTGTACGCACTCTGAACTAGCTGAGTGATGCTAATGATGCCTTCAGGAACAATCAGAAATTACGGAATCCAAACATAATGGGACCTGCAGTCAGTGGGTTGGAGTGTTCACTAACACGAGCTGTGTTTTACCAAACATCCACACAGTGTATGTTATTATAGATCGACATCAACGTGTAGCAACACAACAATCAATCAAATCTCACTTACACTCTGCTCTCTGCACTCTGCGCTGACGTCATTCGAGGTTTATGTGACGCATGATGTGGCGTTCGTCTCCGACTTTTACGAGTGGTCCTTGAAGGCAGCACAGCCTGTCCCACCAAGTCAGCTTTAGCAAAGAGCAGCACTTAGCTTCAGTTAGCATCAGCATCATTCTCTCCTGCTACTTCACAATGACTTAAACAGATAATTAAAATATTTTTTCACCACCAAAGGACGAGGAGCCGCGGGGCTTCGAACACCAGACAAGTACGTCAACTACACGTTCTGTAGTTTTTCTTGCTGTGGGAAATTGATGAAAATGTTAAATCAGTTCATTCAAATGTGTGTGTAATTCAACCGTCAGTTTTATTTTATTTTATTTAATGAGAGAAACCGATGTCGTGATAATGTGCGTGTTAAAACAAATAAATATGTACATTTTTAACGTTTTCTTTTGTGTTATATTTCAATTTAAGTTTACATAAACAGACCAGTTCTAACACATTAAGTTAATTGAAGTCAAAACAATTACTTTACGATATTTTTCTCATTTAAATAAAAATAAAATCATTCACATGATGTTGCTTTTTTTATTTTTATTTTGCTATTCTGAATGTAATTTTTTTGGAATGTTAACTTCTTTGTCATGCAAAGAAATAAACATTCCAAAAAATGAATTTGTCTGTATAACAATTTTGGTTTTATTTAATTTTATTCTTTTTGCAGAAATGAGCCGTTTCTCTTTTGACAACAACAACTTCCCCTACGACAACAACGTCCTGGTGTTGGACATGGTGCTGGGTTCTCTGTGGGGAGTTCCTCAGCCCATAAACTGGGACAACGTCTCCAAGCTAGTTCCAGGATTCAGTGCCAAGGAGGTAACTAGTTGAATACCAGAACATACAGACTTTAGCCTCTTAACGACACCAGCAGCTTAAACAGGGTCAAGGTAGGAATTTACAATGCAATTTTTAGGTCAGAACGTTGTTATCAAACAGACAAAACTTGATTCTACAGTGCGCTCATCGATTTGAGGAGCTGAAGAACACGGGAGGTTTTCCTCAGGTAGACAACCAGTGTAATGCCCTGACCGAGGGAAGTCTGCCACCTTCAGGTGGCCTCTCCACAGCGTTTGACACAGGTGAGATGGTGGACACAGGAAGCACTCAGTGCACAAGCCACGTCACAGGTGAGTTGGTCAGAGCCGTCGTCGGGAGAAGACAGATCAAAGTCAAGAAGTTCACGGTCTCATGTCCTGCTGTTACTGCAGTATTTTGTACCAACTGTTACTGTGGTTTTGAAGTCAACGCTCTTCTCTGTGGTTTAATGTCCAGGCTCTAAATCCAAGCTGTCAAGAAGAGTCAGTTCTGTGGAGAAGAAGGAGAAAAGAGTTTCTGTGGAGGACGACGAGCGACCTCAGTGTCCACGAGAGTGAGTCTGTGAAGTCCTAACGGTGATGGTGATAGAGCAGCTGTGTCTGACGTCAGGTTCTCACCCTCACAGTCTGAACATGGTCATCCACGTGTGTGATGAGACCAAGAACCTGAAGCAGGACTTCACGTGTCCCCGAGATCTTCTGGTGAAGGAGATGCGCTACTTTGCTGAGTACCTCTCTGTGGATCCTCAGAGATGGGAGGAGGTGGACATCTCTGTCCACTGCGACGTCCAGATCTTCGACTGGCTCATGAACTACGTCAGGAGGAACTCAGCAGGAGAGGGAAACAAGGACAAACCCCGTCTCGGTAAAATCTCTGGAGTAAAACCATAAACTGTGTAGAAAAAGTGGACGCAGTCTTTTGTCTGCAACTGGGAAGTTTTTGTCTTTTTATTTGTTACCTCATCAGGTTCTGGTCCGATCAGAACTGAGTCCAGAGCAAAGACACAATCACTGAGCTTCAATAATGACTGACACATTTTCTGTAGTTCTGCAGGGCCATGATTTATCGCCTGTTTTGTTCTAAACCTGACCATTAAAAACCTTTATCAACGATAACAATTACCAGCAGAGTGGCCCTCTAGTGGTTCTTATCTGTACTTCCGTTTCAAACTCGAAGACTGCGTCCAGTTTAAGTTAAGCCAATGGTTTAGTCTCTGAACAGTTTGTGTTAATCAGTGGTCTGGGTTTCTGGTACATCAAATATACTGTGGGTGGCGCTGTGCCTGTGTTTTGTATGTTGTTGGCGTGTCCGGGTGGTCATGTGGTGTTTGTCCATTTCAGAGCCCAGCAATGTGATCTCAATCCTGATCTCCTCCGAGTTCTTGAAGATGGATACGTTAGTAAGTGTCGTGATGCTCAGTGGTGTCTTATCACAGCGCCCTCTGGTGTTCTTTTAGATGAATTCCTCAGTAATCATCATCAAAAATATCAACGGCAGTTATTGTTTGTCATGTACAAATTATTTATTTTTTTGGTAAAAATGTAAAAAATCCTCATTATGCCAACTATTTAAAAACGTTTAAAACTTTAAGTACATGTAAAATCTTATGTTCACAAGTATAATTTTTAAATGACACTTTTTTATTATTCTGATTCATTTTCATTCAATACTGTGTAATTTATACAAAGCGTTGACGAAGCATTGTATTTATGCTTCGTCATGTTTATAAATTAAATATTAATAGGTTGAAGCTTTTGTTTTTTTTTTGTTAAACAAGGGAAAACCAGAGTCAGTGTCACTGCCTGGTTGTAAACACAGAAGAGACGTTGACTGGTTAAATAAGGAGTTTTCTTCACACCTGAACTTGAAGGAAACTAACAGTGAAATGTTTAATGTCACTCAGGTGGAAGAATGTATCCACTACTGCCACAGACACATGAGCGCCATCGTGGCCACGCCCTGCAACATGAACTGCATCAACAGCAACCTGGCAACTCGCATCGCTGAGCTGTTTACCCACAATGAGGCTGATGACATCAGGGACAAAAAGGACAAGTTCAAGAGGTAAAAAAAAAAAAAAAAAAATCTGGATTTACATCAAAACAGAAATGATTTGTTGAAACCAATCAAACCCTTAAAAAAAAAAAAAAAAAAAGGTAAATGATTCTGTGTCTCTGACCACAGAGAACAGAGACATTTAATTTTCTTCTTGTGACTTCAAAGCAAATTGTTCCAGAAGAAAATCGAGCGTCTGTTTGACGCCGTCCATCAGAACAGAGACTCTCCAGGAAACGCTTCAACTCTCTACAGGTGAGGACGGAGACCACGGGACTCTCACTGTCTCTGTGTGTGTCACTCCTGTGTGTGTGTGTGTGTGTTTAAAATCCAGGTGTGGTCAGTGTCTGAAGCTGCTGACCAGAGACACGGAGAGGAACGTCCCCTGTGTCCCAGGCCAAATGGACATCGATGCTCGTGGACAGATCGTCTTCAGCCACAGCAGGTTCTGTTCATGGACCGAGGGCAGCGCCAGGCCCAGCAGGTTCTGACCTGACCTCAGTCTGTGTCTGTGTGTGTGTGTGTGTGTCCAGACAGAAGAACTGGGACGTGCATGAATACATCAGTGGACTCTACGAGGAGCTCCAGTCCTGGGTTCTGGTTTACTGGAGAATCTGGGGAACCATCAACTCCCTCACCTGCTCCCGCTGCCAACAAGTGAGTGAGTGAGTGAGTGAGTGAGTGAGTGAGTGAGTGTGTGTGTGAGTGTGTGTGTGAGAGTGTCAGGAAACGTTCTCTGTTAGACAGGACTGTAAAAATGCTGTTAGTTCAAAGCCCAGTTTCCTAACACCCGTGTGTGTGACCCGTCTCTGTCTCCATCCTGTTGAACCATCAGCACCAACAGCCTCTTCAACACAACTCCTTTTAGAACAGCACTGAAAAACAAACTACAAACTGATATGGAAACTTAATACAATGGACTTAGATATGAATAAATGGATTTACAATATCTTAACAGTGTGTGTGTGTGTGTGTGTGTGTGTGTGTGTGTGTGTGTGTGTGTGTGTGTGTGCAGATGTTCTTGTGTGCAGAGCTGACCCAGTGTCAGTACCACCCAGACAGTGTCCTGTATTCAGGCCCGGCTGCAGAGAAAGGTCTCCATGGAGCAGGACTCTACCCCTGCTGTCACCAGAGAGTACTGCGCTTTGACCCCACTGCTGTCCCCAAGGTAAACACACACACACACACACACACACACACACAGAGTAAAGCTTCATAACCATCAGTAAAACAACTCTGCTGGAGTTCGTGCAAAAGATAATTTAAAGTAAGGTTTACTGTTGACCAGAGGTTGTTGTTGTTGTTGTTGAGCAGAATCACATGACCACGATGTGACCAACCACAGAACAGAAGTCTGTGTGTGTGTGTCCAGGGCTGTAAAATGCGAGACCACATCGTGAGTGTTCCTGATGAAGAGAACTGTGACGAGGCCACCGCGGCTCAGATCAGAGTCCTCAACGACCTGCTGCTGCACCGGGACGACGTCTGTGTGTCCAACAACGCGTCCAGCGACCAGGACAGTCCTTCGTCCAGCTCAGAGAAGATCCAGGACTGTGATCCAGTCTGGGAGCCGACGCTGCTCGGTCCTCTGAGAGGAGACAACGGCTCAGTACGTCTGTCCCCACCGTCCTCTTTGTCCGTCCTCTTTGTCCGTCCTCCGTGACTGACCGCTGCTGCTCTGTGTCTCCAACAGTTCTCTCTGCTGAAGAACTGGAGTCTGCAGCTGGTGAGACTCTAACGCCACTCAGACGTCATCTTCAAATCAGATCTTTTTAAATTATTTTCATGGATGTCTGATAATCTGGGCCCCATGTGAGCAGAATTATTTCATTTAATTTAATCTGTAAGAATGGGCACATCAGAATAAGACGTTAGTCCAAAGACCGCAAAAAAAATCCAACAAGTCCTCGCTTCGTACAAACAGTCAGTAATTATCCAGAGTAAAGAAGTTAAGAAGTGATGTCAGCAGGTGATGAGAAGAACCAGGATGTTCAACAGAAGTTAGAGAGCGGACCACGGTGGAACCAGAGCCACAGCTTTATTATCAGTAGATCGTCTTCCTCATCAGTTGGAGTTAAACATCAGTTTCTCTGGACTGGACTGACCTTCTCACCAGGTCTGAACCATTAGACTTCCATGTAATCAGGCTGATGTCAGTGTGTGTGTGTGTGTGTGTGTGTGTGTCAGAGGCAGCAGACTCTTCTGTCTGAGGATGAGGAGTACACCACAGGGTCAGAGGTCACAGAAGACGAGGTGGGAGATGAAGAGGAGCTGTTCAAGAAACAAGGTGTAGTCACGTGGTTTTCACACGTCATTTGACTCGTAGTTACTCAAACACCTGTGTTTTCTGCAGTTGTATTTATTCGGTGTTGGTTCTCAATACCAGCAGCAGGTGGCGTAACAGTGTCAATTATACCTTTTTTGAAAGCGGTAAAAAATAGAATGACTATTTTTAACAAAATAAAATAATTCCCTGAAGATACAAATAGATGTGAACTGCGCCACCTAGTGTCATTGTTAATAATATTAAATCAGTGCATGAGACAAAGCGAATGTTCTGTTTGACCTCGTGTTTGCTGTAAATCAGCTGCTGTTTTTGTCCACTAGGTGGTGCTTGAGCCACTCTTTTCTGTATATTTCCAAACAGTTCTTAATGTGTTGTTTATTTTCTCTTCAGCTGCCAAAAAGGCCAAGAAGACAAACAGGCCTCTGAAAAAACAGCTGTCCTCTCCAAACGTCCAGCGTAAAGACAAACCAGAGAAAGTAAGTCGTCACCAAACTCCAGCTGAAACTCACTTCAAACTGGACCTGGAACCTTCCAGGAACACACCAGTGTGTCCTACGTTGGCTAACATTTGGTGTTTCAAAACGGAGGTTTAGAAACTCCTGGGCCTTCGTGGCAGAATGATTGACAGTTGACAGTTGATGTTCCAGTGACAGTAACAGCTGCTGTGTTCTGTGTTTGTGTCAGACTCAGAGCAGAGACAACACTCCCTTCACGTGAGTTCATCTGCAGAATCACAGACACCGTCACCTCTGACCTCTGTCTGGTGCCGTTACACCCACCCTGTGTGTGTGTGTGTGTGTGTGTGTGTGTGTTACAGAGTGAGCGTCCAGAAGAGTAAGTGGGACAGTTCTCGTTCCATGCGCTACAACCAGGACGCTCAGAGAGAAGAAGGTAAATCTGCAGATTAAAGGGACAGTCCACAGAGTTTTAGGTGTAGAACTTTCACATCAGCTGTTTCATATAAATGAACGATTACAAATGATAATTAGTCATCAACTCACCAGGGTCGATGTTAATATAAATATAAAGAAAGGTGTCTGGACAAAGACAGTGTCATCACTGAGGTCTGTTACTGTGTGTGTGTGTTACAGTAACAGTGACAGTGAGTTACATACTGTACTGTACTGTACTGTACTGTACTGTACTGTACTGTTGTCCACAAACATCACATGGTTCATACTGTTCACCGTGTCTCATTGTCTTCAATAAACAGACCAGCGCCGTATGGTGGAGATCATTGGCCACTTAACAAAGATGAGGTTCGGGGACCAGGAACAGAACAGATTTAAAGACACCAAAGAGGTCTGTGGAAATGAGTGTTCTCACTGTTTTAGATGGTCCAAAAACCCCGATGCTGGACTGAGCTCCAGAGTCGAGATAAAACCGGGGCTTCAGTCCAGCTGTAAGTTGAAGTTGGTTTGACGTTGGAAATGTAAGGTCCCAGTCCAGTGTTCTGTAAAGACGTCAACAGTGGTGAACAGTGGTGTCCACAGCTGGTGTCCACAGCTGCCCCTGTGTTTGTGTGTGTTGTAACAGCCTGCAGGAGGAATCTACTCCAGACTGGAGGCACAGTTCAAGAGTTCTACACCAGCCAGAGCGCCTGACAAGACCCCCAGGTACTCTCTGCTACACACTGAAACTCTGTGAACGTCTTTATCAACCTTTCATTTCTGACATACAGCAGGAGTTATTTCATTTATGCAGAAAATTGCGAAACATTCATTTTTCTGTGGCTCAAAAAATGGGACAGTCCTAAAGGGAAAACTTCAGAGACGGATCCTCAGTTTGATACACAGTTCACATGTAGGATCTTACATTAAAAACTGAAGTAATGTAAGTCTCTTATATCAAACTAACGTGAGGGTCTCAGTTAAGACCGACATTTTCATTCAATAATAAACCATTTTCTCTTTGTCTCCCCCTGCAGACCTAAAGTCCGATACGCACAGATCCGGACAACGTAACAAAAAAGGAGGTTTGTGAGGACAAAGACTGATGAAAAGAGCAACAAAAATCTAAATCACTTTCTACGGTGGACAAACGTCTACTCTTCTTCAGCCTCTTCCTCCGACACACTGAGCCACTCACAGAAATTATAGGAGAAGCTTTGGATTTTCTTTTATTCCAGCAAGATTATATGCTTTCAGGAACATAGTTAGAAAAAATAGTGCTGCAAAAATATATAAATATATACATATACAGAGTGTTACATCGAATGGTGTAAATGTAACAAAGCATTGAAAACAGTAGATTTAAAAAGGAAAAACAGAAATGAAGTGTGAGCTCAGTTTTGGAGACGACAGCCTGAAATGTTCAAACATTTGGACGTGGTTTCTGCCTAGTCATGATTTTGATGAAGTTCCAAGAAATTCACCATCACTTTCACTTTGTATCATCTTCAAGACACAGATTTAACAATAAAAAATAACTGAGTCTGACCTGCGGCAGAATCTTAACTTCATTCTCTTTGCTCACCTGACACCTGGGCTCCACCTGCAGGTTGATCAGAACAACAACACATAATGACGTTAATGACTTTTCAGAAGTTTCCTCTACTCAACAGTTAAAACGTGTTGTTTTATTTTGGGTCCAGACACCTCTGGAGGTATTTGAAGTTTCCTCTACTCAACAGTTAAAAACGTGTTGTTTTATTTTGGGTCCAGTTTGTGGAATGATCCTGTAACACAGAACCTCCAAACAAACACTTTCCCACACGTGGTTCAGAGATGTGGGAAACAAGCACAAAACAAAACAGGTTTGACGTTCTAACACTTACAGAGGCTGGTGAGGACCTTAAAGAAACTGAACTTCCTAGAAGTCGCCGTGGCCGTCGTATTATCTCTGCACCAGGAAAGATAAGGACAGTTGTTTAACACACACCTTAACAGCCAGGTGGATAATAAACAGTCAACCATAAACAGGCTGAGAAAAGCACGTCCTACAAAGATATCTGACAGATGAACCTACAAATCTGTCGTGTCTAAGTATCAAATAACGTTCATTTATCCTGACTCTGTTTGTGGTTTGTTGTTTGATGCCGTGGACTGACTGGTCACTGATCTGGAAGATTCTGGTTTCACTGTTGAAGCAGCCAAATACATTTCTTTCTTTTTTGTTTTGTTTGTTTGTTTGTTTTTAAATTGAGTTGACTGTCACACAGAGGTCTGACCTCTTCACCTCCTCCTCTTCCTCCTCCTCCTCCTCCTCCTCCTCCTCCCTAAAGTGTGATGCAATCATAATATATGTAAATGGCTGCGTGTGTCCAGACCAGACAGAACGGGATTTAACCAGTCTGAGCCTGGTCCACCAGTCTGCAGGCTTCACTCTACTTCAACTTCACACATGTGTGAGAGAGGATTCCTGCACACACACACACACACACACATACACACACACAGAGAGAGAGAGAGAGAGGTTGGGGCCAGCTGAAGTTTGTGGACACAGAATCACATCCTAAATCAAGTCACTTCTCTGTGGACTCCATTTTTTTTTGTGCTTCCAGTGCTGAATGTTAAAGGGGCATTCAGAAGTTATTGTAACCACGAAAGATGTAGTGCTTCTTGCTAGCCAGCAGGTGACTCCATAACGCACTGGCGTGTGAGTTGGTAGTATCTTGTTTTAAAGAAATGTTTTCCCCAAGGAATAAAAGAACAAGGAATCATTTTGAAAAACAAAAAGCCATGGTAGTGGTATGAGCTACGGCCGTCTTCTTGGACAACATCCAAAGACCACACACATTAATCATACATGGATTCTGCAGAATTCCTGAAAAGCAGGCTAACCTGTTTTGTTAACCAATCGTACGGCTTGTATGTTGTGAGTGTGGGGGCTGCACACCTTGATCTGAAGTTTGTTACTGAGTCAGATGAAGGCCAACTGTCTGAGCTCTGAAGACGGTGCTGTGCCACACGGTGATTCACATTTGGGATGAATATTTAACTTTAGCTTCTTCTTTGTATTGATTCAGTTAGACTTGACGTATAAGCTCGACTCAGATCTAAACAAACATCAGTTGACCATATAAGGGTCATCTTTTCACACCATATATGGTTGGGGTTAGGGCCCATAGACATGTGTTTTTAATTGTTAAGTTAAACTTTTACAGTTAAGGTCAATGTTCAACTGCAAAAAAATAATGTATGTGAAAATAGTGATAGATATCACCTTAAAGAAACCACTGAAAGCATGGTGACATGGTGAGTCCCCTGGGTACAAGAACACAATAACCTGTTGAAAAAGTTTTTATTGTAAACTGCTTCAGTCTTAGTACAAAAGTATAAAGGGAAACACAGACACAGAACATCAGGACTTTTAAATATACAGTTAGTTTAAAATTATTATTTTATTTAAACCGTGATATCACCTCAACCAGACCCAGAGACCAGTCTGTTTTAGATCAGGGGCTAAAGACTGTAATCCATCCAACTAAACAGGACACCGAACTCTCCCGGTACTTTAGGGTCTTGTACAGTCGGGCCGCTGCATTACGACTGCATTCGACCTTTGTCTCTGCTGCCTGTGTTAATGTGCCTGCATTAAAGAAACAGTTTCACAGAAGTGGACGTTTCCATAAATGCAACCCACATCAAACAAACTCCACATAAGGCCACACGCGTGTACGGCATGTGGGTCGTAGCGGACGCAGTGTTGCTGGGCGAAAAAGGACAAACGCCCTTCGAGAAAAGCCTCCCTGAATGACTCGCTGTGACCGTGTGTGTTTGTGCACTGTCTCCAGCACTACACACCAAACCCAGTATTTTTCCATCAAGTAGCGCGTGGACCACGTGACCACAGAGACGCGGGGAGGAGGGCGGCGCTGTCATGTTTGCATCCTCCACTGAGAGCAGCGCGCACTCTTTCTCCACTTACTGTGTTTATATATATTAAACCAATGTATTTCAGTTGAGGCTCATTAATACTTCCGGTCAGGGGCCGTGACAGATATATGTGCTGAATGGTACGTTTTATAAAAGGCGTCCACTTCGAGCACTTATAAGTGTTGAAACCAAATTCTGCTCCAGGTCGTTTTTCCGTTCACGATCATCGTGTAACCACGCCCACTCGTGGCTGGTGGAAAATTACCAGCTTACAAGCAACAGGCAAATGAATGGGGGGCTCAGCTATATCAAGTGTACCTACCAAAAGACCCCACGATGAATCCACGTATCTATAAATATTGATATGTGTGCTTTTCGTAGTAGCGGAACCTTCTATGGCTTTAAAGTAGTCACAAATGATGACACGCTCTTCACAGTGACACGGTACGTCTTACATAGAAGCTATCAGCCGTAATGATGACGCGGAGGATTGTAGTATGTGAATTTGTCCCACGGAACTCCCAAATAAAGCTGTTGTTCGGAGGCTGTGCGGTCGCTACCTTGCTCCGAACACAGCGCGGAGTCCATTCTGCGACGGGAGTCTGCCCTCTTTTTTCTCTGCGGGCGGAGTGGTCGCGTGGGCGCTTGAGCGAATTGAAAGTGACGGACGCGTGTTCTAGCCAATAGTAGCATCGTCGATTGACGCTGGCGCAGTCTAAAGCCAATCCGCAAAGTGAATGGGCGTAACCCAAGTCCAAATTTTTACGCGGCGCCATCGGCTGAAAACTAAACCGAGATGGAATCTCCCAGTCTGAACCGGTTTCAACCGGTTGCGAGAGGAGAGAGAGAAGAGAAGAGAGGAGCGTTGAAAGGAGGCACACACGCTGTAACCTCCACGCCAATTCGTTACTGGAGATTTATTAGAATTATTTAAGTGGAAGAAGTTTGATTGTTTTTTTGGTTGACGTAAAATGTCACCGTGATAGTACATTTAGAGATACCATACATCAGTGGTTTGTGTAGCAGCCAGACATCACCAAGACACTCACTATCTCATTGCTGGAGCTGGGGATAAGTCAACGCTGCACAATTAGGACATAATATCGCATTTTCTTCCATTCGATAAGTATCTTTGTAGTTTTTTCCGGGCAAACGCCACTTTTTCCTGTCAGAGTCGTGGACTTTAGGTAGGTACCTGCACGAAAGTCTCACTCACGTTGCCGTGAAGGCCTTCTGTAATTAACCCCTATTTACTATACAATAAATACATTCTCGTGGCGAATCAGCATGCGATAGCTTATATCAAAGAATATGTGTCATGATGCTAACACTGCTATGAATACAACATGCTAAACTAGTCCTTCCTGCTAAGCTAACTGGTCACTCACCTAACATCACAAATGTGAACGAAGCCCATTGTTAAAGTTTACAGAAGTGGTTTAAACTGAATTGTATCCCTGCTCTTTCGGCGAACAAACTGCTGTAATTTCACTGAATACACGCGTGTCTGTCCCACCTCCACGCCAGAGTGATAGCAGCATCATTGCTGTGCTGTGACTGGATGACAACTCGTGTGTGTTGCTCGGTGCCGAATGAAAAGTTATTCTCTGTATAACCTGAAACTACCAACAATAATTATGCCAACTTGTCTTTTCCATCTCAAAAACACACTTTAACGTGAATAGCGACTCCCAGTCTTGGCTGGTGTTTGGTGGGAGTGGTTCTAACTAAGCACATGTGAAAGTGTCAAAATGTAGTCCGAATGCTAACTTCTGCTGGGCTGTAGAACCGTGTGTAAAATGTTCTCGTTTACATTAGAAGTGTAGATGAAGCCAGAAGAAGCGGCCGTTCGTACGAGAAAAGAGTGTCCTAACTGCTTACGGCCGTTAGCATTGATGCTAGCTTCGCAGATGTAAACAGCAGTGACGTCGTCATGTACAAAAATTGCACGTGGTTTATTTTGACCTTCTTTCGCGCCACCATAAAGAGTTCGTGTTATAACGACACCAATCTTCACATCAACCGTTAGTCGTGTTTGCCCTGCGACGTAGACGGATGTTATTGACTACTGATTTACCACATAAGGATTAGTCAACACGAACCGAGCTTATTCATACGCGCTGCTAAATCATTTTGCTGCTTGTGAGGGAGAGAAAACTCTGCTGTGTTATTGTGTCACAGATGCCTCACCATCAACAAAAATAGTAGAGGGTTTAATCTGTTTGCTCGGAGAAAACGTGCTAACACAAAATAAGATTGCTTTTAACTTTGTTGGTTTCTGTTTGTTAAACCCCAGCATCAGCCACACACCTAAATAAAGTGTTGGTGTCAACATGGTCCTAGGTCTATACATGTAAATGATTGGACAACTTTAATAATAATTCACTGCTGCCCCTTTTTGTGCCATTTTATAGGGTACAATGTGGTGGTGAAACTAACCTGGCTCGATAAGTCACCATTTAGAAAGGTTGGGTTTACACTAGACTGGTCAAGGTGTACACAGATTACTAATGTTGGATAGTAAAAATGCTGCATACAGAAACACGTGACCCTTACTGAGCAAAAGTTCCCTGGTGTGGTACAATGCCTGTCTAACCTCTGTTCCACAGCAGTGTTGCTGTCATCATTTTGCTCTGCTGTGATTGGTTGGCAACGGTATGTTGCTGGATTCATGTAAATAATTTTCTCTGAATATTGTCAAGTTTATGGTTTGAACATTGTTTTTAGTTTGTTTTCCCTCTGGGACTTGAAAACAGCATTGTTAAACCATTGAAGTGACTCTGCTCTGATTAATGTTTGTGCAAAGTGGTTCTAACTCTGTGTGTGTGTGTGTGAAATATCAAGATTATAGCTCTGATGTTAACTGAACTACTGCTGCTATATATGTGCATATTCTTGGAGGTGTTTACATTTGCTGGCAGGTAAAAGCAAGGACTGCCTTATGAACCTGAAGCTGTAAACAAGAGTGACATCGCATGCAAATTAGCACGTGTCTCCTTATGACCTCCTCCTTACTATTGTGGAGGATTAGTTAGTGTTAACATTGTAAATTAGTCCTAGTGAGTTTGAATGTGTTGTTGGCTGAAGCTGAATTCTTATGGCACTGACTAATTTTATGAATGGTACGGTCAGTCACCCATACTGAGCACTAGGAGTCTATTTTTAGCAGCAGACTGAGACCAACCTTTCATCCACAAAAGGAGGATAATTCTGATTCATAGACTTCTAAACCATGCTGCACAATATTAGGATCACATTTGTTAAGTATTCTAATTTTTTTTTTCAATGTATACAAATGTTTGTCAAAATGGTAACATAATTTTCCAAATTATAATGGGCATGACCTGGAATGAGAGCACCACCAGGAACCCTGCAGTGTTTGTTTTAGGCTCAGTTCACGTGACGTACCTGTGCCCTCCTGACGCCGGCTCTCACTCTTGATCTCTCTCCTCTGTCCTTGTTGCAGAGCTCTATGCCAGCAGTTATGACAATGTTAGCAGACCATGCAGCACAGCAGCTGCTGGACTTCAACCAGAAACTGGATATCAACCTGCTGGACAATGTGGTGAACTGTCTGTATCATGGAGTGGGTCCACAGGTTGGTTTCTTTTATGTGAAAGAGAAAGTAACCTTTGTTATGATCTGTAATCCAATTGAATGGACTTTTATTGGTGTTATCTAATGGGAACTTAACGATTCCTTTAGTATACATCACTTCTAGTACATTTTCTACTTGTGAAACAACATAGTTCCATAATTAACAAGTGTTTACAATGTGTTCAAATAAACATTTTGGTTCCATAATCACAATAACATCAATGTTATTACAGCAGAGAATGGCGCAGGAAGTGTTGACGCACCTAAAAGAACATCCAGATGCCTGGACAAGAGTGGACACCATCCTGGAGTTCTCACAGAACATGAATACTAAGGTAAAGTACTGCCAGTCCTGAGAACTCTGGGGGAGGGAGACACACGTGAGCTTTGTGGGGGTAGAAAAGTATCCAGGGTTGGAATAAAGGAGTGGAGAAAGTGTTTAGAAGGTGTTTGTGACCTTAACACAAATTCAATCTTTTATTGACATTTCTCAGCCTCTGAGATATATATATATATATATTTATATATGTATATGTATATATGTATATGTACCCTGGCAGTGTTCCTGGTACTGGGTGTCAGACATGCCATACAGAAAGAATTAAATCTAAGCCTGTATAATAACATCAGAGCCAAAAGATGTTTGGTACAATATGTCTTGACCAGTCTGGATGTTTTTTTACCGTGTCAGAAGATGACAGCCCTGTTGTCATGTGTGATCAACCAAAGTTTGACTGGAGATCAAGACGTTTACTGAGTTACTTAGCTTTAGTGTTTTTCCAAGTTGACCGTCACAAAGAAGTCGTTCAGTGTGAGTGACTATAAGGCAGAAATCAATCAATAAGTGAATGATTGAATTGACTGCTGCTTTATATATGTATATATATGTGACTAGCTAAAGGCTGTCACCACTCCCATGTTGGAAGCATGTAAAAGTGATGTTATTGTTGTTTCTAACATTTTCTTTAATACTAATGTCTGAGTTTATTTATTAGTGGCATTTTCTCCTAGTTGTAAATTTCCTAATTTGCCAAAAACATTGGGGCATTAGAGGCAAAGAGGCAACAGAAGGTAAACACCTTGAATTCTGAATTGTTTGTATTTTTAATGCATAAGATTGAAATCACTTTAGACCACATGGCTTCTTTATATTTTACTAGATATTAAAATGTACTGAATTCAAGCTGTGACTAATTTGCTATTAATCACAATGTTCCATTATGTTTATGGCTTGTAATAGGATGAAAAGGGGTGTGTGTCGTCCTGTGCATCATGACACAGCTAGCACAGCTCTGACGGCAGGCCTCCACAAGGTCTACCCTTTTTTAAATTCCCTTTGACTCAGTTCTGTTCATGTGGTTCTATTGCAACTGTTTTCAGCAACAGAGGGATGAAGCAAGCCACAGTTAGGAGATGTAATCCACGACCTCTTTCCTCTGTAGGGATCATATCACAGTTGTCTTGAGGTTTTGTCAATGGAAGTTTCTTTGAAAGCCAATACTACGGCTATGATTCTCATGCAACAGAACACCGTCAGACTGATTTGGGATTCAGATTCTTCATCCACTTTTTAGGGTCAACTGATTCTTTGTTGCAGGATTGGTTCTTTACAGCAAACCAAGAGCTGAGAAAACTTCTAACATGTTGCCCATACTGACACAATAACATCAGGGTGTTGCTACTAAAATACCAAATCCATTTAAGTTGTACCTGAAGACACAGAGGGACTCAAAGTTTTGCCAAGAAAATCTCCAGAGCGCCATCACATGGCCACCGGCAGTCTAGTGGCCGACACGAGACAGAACAGAGTCCTTGGAATGATGGTCCCTACAGTCGAAACAGGCACTTGAGTAATATTCCCTCAAAAGGCAGTTACTGATTGTGTTTGATCATTCAATCAATTGGTCCATTATTGGTGGTTTCTTTAAGTGTGGTTGTTGAATGTGCTGGTTTACTGTCATTTACCCAGCTGTGCACGGTAGCTGCTCATCACAGTAGGAAGAGGCCTATCAGTAGCTGCCAACATGGGCATCGGGGGGGGGGGGGGGGTTAGTCAGATGAAGAGTCAGACATCATAAAATGTACGTCCCCATGAACAGACTTCATGGGGTTTGATGTGTCAGTCCTCAGATTAAAAACCTTTATAGACAGGAGTTCAGTTGGACAAATGTAAGACATGGTCCCATAGATGGACGGTGCTGCTGTTGGGCCATGCAGGTATTCAACACAGGTTGCTGTTGCAGCACCACCATCTGTGTACAACCACACTTAAAAAACCTAAAACTAAGAGGGCAGAACCTGTGGTTGCTCCTGCTGTTTCTTTTGACACACCAAAGAATCTTAATTGGAATGACTTTGACTCCAGAGCGTTGTGTGTTTGTGTATCGACGGTGACGTCACGTGTTGGTGTCGGGTTTTATTAGTTAAAATGCTCAGTCAGGTTCTTTCAAGTTGTGTAATATATCTGAGTACTTTCCACAGCGAGAGAGCAGCTAAGATTTAGAAGTTGAACTGAAACATGAAACATGAGCAGATGAAGTGTGAATTAGTTAGTCAGTGGTTGAGAGCCAGGGCTTTTAGGTTGGTCTTATATATTATAGAAAGTCACAGCTTTACGTAGGTCAAAGAATTCAACTCCAAATGTTCAGCCCTAAAGATGGTGCAGTCTGTGTACAATAAGACTACACCTAGACCCTGTCAGACCTACCCTGTAGGGAACAACAGCCGGCTCTGGGTAATGAGCTGTTGTGTTTCTCTGACATGTTTTGGTGTGACGCTCAGAGAAACGGCAGGACTGATGCAGTGTTTTGACCTCGTGCTGCCCATTTAGTGACCAAAAAAACCAAAAGTTTCTGCATTCAACCAAACTCTGCATGAGGTGCAGGTCAGCTCAAAGCAGTTTAGTGAAAAACAGATTTAAACCAGGCTGGTTGACTTTGTACCATTTGTTTGGTTTGTATCAAAATGACACAATGATTGTTTGGTGGCGCTGACTGTAAAGTCTCGTCCTGACGCCTCTGTTTTGCATGTTACAGTATTATGCACTTCAGATTCTGGAAACCGTTATCAAAACCAGGTGGAAGATTCTTCCCAGGAACCAGTGTGAAGGTAAAACCCCTTTTTTTTTTTTATGAAGTATTGGTGTGTTCTTCTTTGATGCTGTGACGTGCTGTTGCCATGTTGACAGTTGTTTCCTCACTGAGCATGCAGCTTTGTTTTCTGCTCCACTGACCAGCACTGAACTGTAGCTATTTGAAATGGACAGAACACCAAAGCACAGGAGCTCTAAGGTTGAACATTTTGGTGAAATGTCTGCCGTACTTCCATCCATCCACCAGTCCAACTTCTGCCAAATTCTGTTAAATCCTTGATGGTGAAAAACAATTGTCTCGCATGCTTTTATTTTCTGAACTGTACGAGGTTCTGATGGAAGGACTGCATGTACACTGATGTTTTTGTTTAAAAAGGGACTAAACTCTAGTCATCCACACTGCCCTGGCCTTTAGGTCCATAAAAACAATGTGGTTTTGTTGTTGTTTTTTCAACTTAAACGGCTGTTTATTTTAAATACTGTTGTGGCCTTACATGGGAAGGAAGTTACACTTGTGCCCAAGAAATTAAATCAGGATGCAGTTTTTTTTTCCCACGACTGAGGAACATTCAAATCCAATGTAAAGTGGTGTAAAAACTGGTGGTCCTGTTTGTACGGCACAGATGAAGAAATCACCAGAGAAGATCAGCTCGCTCCTGGATTGGTCCAGGCACCAACCTATCTTTTCACTGTAATGTTTCCAAGAATTAGGGAGAATAATTTTTTTTTTTTTTTTTTACTTCTGCCACCACTGACAAAAAATAAACTCCAGCTTCTCCTCTTTTCCTTCCTGCTCCAAATATGCAGACTTGCAGGTTTTCCACAGACTTGACAGACACAAATTGCACAAATATGAATCTGCTGAACATGTCAGGGCTCACATTCTGTGTGAGCACCATGTAAACCACCGCTCCATACGCTGTTGTGTTCACACATTAGTGAGTTGTATAAGCACGTTATGGGCAACCGGTTGCAGCCATTGTTTAAAATAAAAGTTTGAACAGAGTGGGCCGGGGTCTCACTGCGGTGGGTAAAACAACAACAATGGTAACGTGATGACTGCTGTGGTGTGGAATCTTTGAGGTTCACAGTTGTTACAGTCAGACCCACAGAACAGGAACCTGCAGTAACAGTTACTGAGGTGCTACTGTAGGTTTTATTGGGTGAGACATGATCTGAGTGGCTGCTGCAGCAGGTTAGTGCTGACCTCCTGTTTTCACCTGGTGCAGCCACATTCATAAGTCACTTCACACCCAGTCATCTCACTGTTTGAAGTACAGTTCCATTTATTACTGACTGTAGTTGTTTAATAGAGTTGATTTTTGTCCTTAATAATGATAGTATATATTAGACCCATAAAGAACGTGGTGTAATGAGGTGTAAGTTACCAAACCTAAATCACTGTGTAATTACCACATTCTTAGGATTTTTAGTTTTACAACTTTTTTTGTTTTATTTTTAAATTAACAATAAATGAAGTAATAGTGAGTTAGTGGACGCTCAGTCACAGTGGACAGTGTTGGTACGATCGCCCAGTTGAGTTTGTCTCCCTCGGTTCTTCACATAAACCTGATTGAAATCAGTTCTTTTTTCACCGTGACCTGAGACCTGCCTACTTCTGACCACAGATGCCTGAATTATGTTCAGGCGGCAAAGCCAGAGCAGGGCCACGGGCGACTACGTCTCTCCTCCCCATGTGTCCGAGTACTGCCAGGTTTCCAGCTGCGCTCACTACGCAGTAGCAGAACCATTTGGGAGTTGTTGTTTTTGAAGTTGCTGGTTGTGACATTTAGCCTTCACTGAATCAAGGACTCAAACTTCACTCTGCAGAGTTTGTTGTTGCATTGAGACTAAACTGGCTTTTACAACAGAACGTAAGCAAAGGACCAATTGACTGTTGACCTGTGTGTCGTGATAGGACAGTTCAAACGCTGAATGTCGTTTGTCGTTGATGACTTCTTAAAGTGACCCCTTGTGTTTGCAGGAATAAAAAAGTATGTTGTTGGTCTCATTATCAAGACCTCGTCTGACGCAGCGAACGTGGAGGTGAGTTCACCCAATCACAGAATGTTTATATTAAGAATAATAATTCATTAATAATTAGTGTTGGTATAAATGTACCCTCTTGATTAACATCCCATATAAAAACTATCACGTAAATGTAGTCTCTAGTGAAAAACCAGCGCATGTTAGCCGCGTGTTAGCTGTATGTTAGCTGTATGTTAGCTGTATGTTAGCTGTATGTTAGCCGTCAATAATGAGCCCTAGAAATAGACCAGAACATTGGACTGCAGTCACTGTTTGTCATTGATGACATGCTGTAGTTTGATGACAGGTTCAGGTTCAGTTAAGAGTTGGTTCTGTTCAAGGTATAATTTAAAGAAATGACTGATGCTGATTCCACCATGTTATATGTTGAAAGTTAAAAACAAAAAAGTCATATTAATGCCACTACAGTGTCAATTGATTATGTTCTGTTTAGGTATATTTTGAGTTAAATGTTCATTAAATGTTTTTTTTTTAAAGGTCACAATTGTCGTTCTTTCTCACTGATTCTAATTGTTAACTAAGCATACTTTTTTTTTTTTTCAGAAAGAGAAGGTGTACATTGGGAAGTTGAACATGATTCTTGTTCAGGTACGTTCATTTCTAACCTCCTACCCAATTAACAACAAAAATTAGTTACCAACCTGTCCTGTTGTTGGGTTTTTGCTTTATTAGTGGTGAAAACACAGGCACAGCCCAGTGCAGATTCCACTGAGGGAATAATAAGGACACGTGGATATGATCAGTTCTGACAGCCACACAATGTAAACTACACAGAAAGGAACTCCTGTCATTGTCTTTGTAGCACATTTGTTTAGATTCATTTTGTTAAAAATAGCACAATTTCTAATTAGTGGAAAACAGAGAAATTGTGTAGATTAAAAAAAAAATCATCATCTAAATGTTAAGGCTTATAGACCACAACTAGGTTGTTCTTTCATGCAGCTGTGGTTTAAACAGAACTTCACTCAGTTCAACTCATATAGTTTTAATGTAGTGTCAGTGTTTATTTATGCACGTGTTGTTTTTGAGAGTGTCAACATCAGTTGATGTAAAGAGAGCGAGGCCTTTGTTAACCTGCTCCACGAGTGACTTGGCATTAATGTCACTGTGAGTCACTCACTACGTACGTCAGACCAGCTAATGCTGTTTAGCCTTCGGGGGATTTGGGAGCTCCAGGTTCTACTCTCATCCTCTACAGACTGACTGCATGTGTCGACACATCCTATATTGTTACCTGTGACTTGTTGATTGTCACAAATGGCCTTTTTGGTTTTTAGGAAAGTTGTGTCTAAAATGACATAAGAAAATCTAAGTGTAATTACCATCAGCTGCTTTAGTCACACAGTTTGGATCAGCACTGATGAACAGCTGTCCTGAACATTTGAGCTGCAGACGTGTATCTACACCAACACCAACACCAACCATGTTCCAGACATAGATCTCAACTGAATTTAGTCCCTCAACAAACTCACCTGCTTTTAATCCTGCGTTCTAAGCTGGTGCTCAGCACTGCACGGCTCACAATCACGTTAGAAATCTCCTGTTGGTGTCGCAGCATCGTTCAGTGGACGCACCACGAGTCAAGGTTCAGGACTTACAAAACAGAAACACATGTTCTCTTCTTCAGCCGAACCAGCATCACGTTCATCAAACTGTGGCCACTCAGAGTGTTTGTGTCTGTGTTCAGATCCTAAAACAGGAGTGGCCCAAACACTGGCCCACCTTCATCAGTGACATTGTTGGAGCCAGTCGTACCAGCGAGAGCCTCTGTCAGAACAACATGGTGATCCTGAAGCTGCTCAGTGAAGAAGTGTTTGATTTCTCCAGTGGTCAGATGACCCAGGTCAAGGCCAAACACCTCAAAGACAGGTCAGCCGTCCGTACTCTCTCGACATGTCAGTCACCTGTCATCATGACAAATGGATGACTTGACCTCTGACCTGTTAGGGTTCATAGTATTTGTTGAAACTTTGAAGGTTATGATTTTATTGTGGTGTTTAATCAAAACACACCTGACAAGAAGAAATCAGTGTCAACCTCAGCTCTTCACATGTTGATGTTTTCAGTGAAATGTTGGTGAATGATGTCAAATAAATTACTCTTTTTTTTTTTTTCACAGCATGTGCAATGAGTTTTCCCAGATATTTCAGCTCTGCCAGTTTGTGATGGTATGCATCATTTCTTTTTCTATATTGATATATAAGATATAGATTCTTATTGGTCATTTTATTCAACAAGTTGTCATTGTTTTGTTTATTAGGAGAATTCCCAGAATGCACCTCTGGTTCACGCCACACTAGAGACACTGCTACGTTTCCTCAATTGGATTCCTCTGGGCTACATTTTTGAGACCAAACTAATCAGCACGCTGGTGTACAAGGTGTGGACACACAGTAACAGCAGGTTTTTGACTCAACTGTTTTCAGAACGTCTTCTTGACCTTCAGTTTTTCCCCTCAGTTCTTGAATGTTCCCATGTTCCGTAACGTAACTCTGAAGTGCCTGACAGAAATCGCCGGTGTGAGCGTCAGTCAGTACGAGGAGCAGTTTGTCACACTCTTCACACTCACCATGTGTCAACTCAAACAGGTTTGTTAACGTGCAGCCGTCCTGACAGTTTTATTTCAACACTGAAGATACAGTCTGGCGTTGTTGAATTTCTAAAGTTCTGAACGATGTCTGTTGAAGATGCTGCCTCTGAATACCAACATTCGATTGGCCTACGCAAATGGAAAAGACGACGAGCAGAACTTCATCCAGAACTTGAGTCTGTTCCTCTGCACGTTCCTTAAAGAGCACGGGCAGCTTATTGAAAAACGACTGAACCTTCGAGAAACGTTAATGGAGGTAAGAGAAGAACTCTGTCCATAGATTTACACTTTAGAATGACTCTATTAGACTTTAATGTCCATAGTTTGTAGTAATTCTTTATTATACTTTACTTCCTGATTTCATATTTACTGATTGTGTCTGTCGTGTTCCAATAGATGTTCTATTGCTTTGATGTTCCTTATCTCAAAGTTGTTTTTGTTGTTTGTTTGAAGCCACTAATGCTCATATACAGTACCATCGCTGACCAGCAGGGACAGACTGTGAAACCATTTAAAAATCACCACGTTTTCTCATAAAATACAGATCCATAAATTGAATTTAATAAATTGCTGTAACAACTATAATGTGAACACCATTTATGTGTCATATTGTTCAGCCTAATAATAATGTAGTTATAAAAAAGTCACCATGTGTGGCTCTTTCTCTCTGATCTTGAAGTAGTTTCCTGTTTGTTGTTCAGCTCCGTGGTGCTGCAGCACTGCCTCTCTGTGGCCACAGGCTGCCACATCAGAAACACAGACGAATCACAGCGTTGTTTCCTCTTCCTCAGGCTCTCCACTACATGCTACTGGTGTCTGAAGTTGAAGAAACGGAGATCTTTAAGATTTGTTTGGAATATTGGAACCACTTAGCTGCAGAGCTCTACAGAGAGAGCCCCTTCTCCACGTCCACGTCACCCCTGCTCTCCGGGAACCAGCACTTTGACGTGCCACCGCGCCGACAGCTCTACCTGCCCGTGCTCTCAAAGGTAATTAAACACCCAGTAGTCACTTCATTATCTCTGATGTTTGTTTGTTAGTGTAACATTGTTACTGAAGGGACACAGACAGACGTGGTCCAAATATTTCTGTCCATACACAGTCATTCTGGAGGTGGTTTGGCTCCGGTGAGTTGTGGTGTAAATAAGAAGACAAAGCTTTGGGTGAAATGGTTTAGATTTCATGGATTAGTGTGAAGTAAAAACGATGTATTTCTTTATTCTGTGTTAGTGTTTGACTCTGGAGGTGACCACGGTGATACACCAGTGTCACTCCACTGACATGTTTTAATCTGTGACAACAGGTGCGGCTGCTGATGGTCAGTCGAATGGCCAAACCAGAAGAGGTGCTGGTTGTGGAGAATGACCAGGGGGAGGTGGTCAGAGAGTTCATGAAGGACACGGATTCTATCAACCTCTACAAGAACATGAGAGAAACTCTTGGTAATGTGTTTTATTCACACTTGAATGGATCAAAGTTTACGGCTTTTCATCAATGCCTTGTTTCTGACTGTCAGAGTCTGAGTCTTGTTGTGTTTCTGCACTGTGTTGCCAACACGTTTTTAATGACGCACAAGAAGCTTAGTTTAAAGCTGTGCCCAGAGGCAAACATGTGTTTAACTTGGACTTAGTGTTAGCTTTTATGACAACACTCAGTCATGGCAGTTGGTGCCAGGTTCACTCTTCTAGCAGACACACGTTGACACCTGACACTAATATGCTGCTCTGGCTGTTTCTGCAGTGTACCTCACTCACCTGGACTATGCAGACACAGAGCGCATCATGACTGAGAAGCTCCACAACCAGGTGAACGGCACCGAGTGGTCCTGGAAGAACCTCAACACGCTGTGCTGGGCCATCGGATCGATCAGTGGGGCGATGCACGAGGAGGACGAGAAGAGGTTCTTGGTCACCGTCATCAAGGTGCAGCAGCAGCAACATTTAGTTTCATCTAAATGAACTCTGACTGAGGTTTTCTGTCCACGGTCGCCTTATTTCAACACGTTGTGTTTCAGGATCTGCTGGGTCTTTGTGAGCAGAAAAGAGGAAAAGACAACAAGGCCATCATCGCCTCCAACATCATGTACATCGTTGGTCAGTACCCACGGTTTCTGAGAGCCCACTGGAAGTTCCTGAAGACCGTGGTCAACAAGTTGTTTGAGTTCATGCACGGTGAGAGATCATCTGCTCTGGTCTGAGCTCCTACACTTGGACTTCTGCCTCTTATTGTTTTCACCTTTGACCTCATCAGAAACTCACGATGGAGTCCAGGACATGGCCTGTGACACCTTCATCAAAATTGCGCAGAAGTGTCGGCGCCACTTCATCCAGGTCCAGGTGGGGGAGGTGATGCCCTTCATTGACGAGATCCTCAACAACATCAACACCATCATCTGTGACCTCCAGCCACAGCAGGTGAGAAGAACTGGTACCATGTTCTCCATCTCATGGTTCTACAGGCTCAGCTTGTGTCTCCTGGTCACCCCTCCACAAACACGACCAACCTTTATATTGTTAACGTTCTCCTTTGTTTCCAGGTGCACACCTTCTATGAAGCAGTAGGTTATATGATCGGAGCCCAGACGGACCAGGCTGTGCAAGAGCACCTCATAGAGAAGTACATGCTGCTGCCTAATCAAGTGTGGGACAGCATCATCCAGCAGGCCACGAAGGTGGGACACCAGTCTGACTTCACCTCAACCAACCAACTAGTCTGTGGAACAGAGAACTCATCTGTTGTTTCTCTACTGTGCTGTCAGAACGTGGACATCCTGAAGGACCCAGAGACGGTGAAGCAGCTGGGCAGCATCCTGAAGACCAACGTCCGAGCCTGCAAGGCTGTGGGCCATCCCTTTGTCATCCAACTGGGCCGGATCTACTTGGACATGCTCAATGTCTACAAGTGCCTGAGTGAAAACATCTCTGCGGCCATTCAAACAAATGGTGAGGAGTCACTGCGTCATAACTGGACAACAACATCTCATGACCTTCTTACTTCCTGTTCACAATCAGAATCAACTACATTTACTAAAGACACGTCTATAATCTGTCAGTTTAGTGAGTGAAGCTGAATGTCTGTCGTTAATTCACTTGGTTCCTGTTCAGGTGAGATGGTGACAAAACAGCCCCTGATCCGGAGCATGAGGACGGTGAAGCGGGAGACGCTAAAGCTGATCTCAGGCTGGGTCAGCAGATCAAACGACCCACAGATGGTGAGAGAGAGAACTGCTCTGTAACACCCTAGAAGTTACTGGTTTTAATGTGGAAGAATATTTTTATATAACACTTGGTTCCCACGGAGGTTAAAACAATGATGAACCAACAGACAGAAGGTGGAAATAAGCAGTCAGATCACACCGTCTTGTTACACCGTCTTGTTACACCGTCTTGTTACACCGTCTTGTTACACCGTCTTGTTACACCGTCTTGTTACACCACCGTCTTGTCCGTCTTGTTACACCGTCTTGTTACACCGTCTTGTTACACCGTCTTGTTACACCGTCTTGTTCCTTCTCTGATGTGCTTTTCCAGGTTGGAGAAAACTTTGTTCCACCACTTTTGGACGCCGTTCTTATCGACTACCAGCGCAACGTTCCTGCTGCTAGAGAACCTGAGGTCCTCAGCACCATGGCCACCATTGTGAACAAACTTGGGGGGCACATCACCAGTGAGATCCCTCAGATCTTTGATGCTGTTTTTGAGTGCACTCTGAACATGATCAACAAGGTGAGGGAAGGACGGCACTGAGATGTGGAGGGTCAACCGTGG